TGTTTTTTGAAAAATATACGCCCATTTTGAATTTGATGCCAGCAACACATTCCAAAAAAGTTGGGATGGGGGCAACAAAAGACTGGCAAAGTTGTGCAATGCTAAAAAAACACTTGGTGGTTAATTGGCAGCAGGTCAGTAACATGATAGGGTATAAAAAGAGCATCTCAGAGAGGCTGAGTCTTTCAGAAGTAATGATGGTGAGGGGTTCTCTACTCTGTGAAACATGGTGCAGGCAAATAGTTCAGCAATTCAAGAATAAAGTTTCTCAACATAAAATAGCAAAGAACTTGAGGATTCCAAATCAATAAAAGAATCAGTGAATCCAGAGAAATCTCTGTATGCAAGGGGACAAGGCCAAAAACAGTATTGGACACTGTGTCCTCCAGCCTAAAGATCACCCAAATTGTTATCAGCACACAGTTCAAAAGCCAGCATGGGGGGTGCATAAGTGCCCATGACATGGATGACTTGCACATCTGCAAAGGCACCATCAATGCTGAACAATATATACAGGTTTTGGCAACTTTTGCTGACATCAAGATGTCTTTTAGGGAAGGTCTTGCTTATTTCAGCACAATAATGTCAAATCACATTCTGCATGCATTACAACAGCATGGCTCCACAGCAGAAGAGTCTGGGTGCTGAATTTGCCTGCCTGCAGTTCGGACCTATCACCCATTGAAACATTTGGCTCATTATGAAACAAAAAACAATGTAACAGAGGGTTTGGTTTAATTTTGGCACTTATTATGCATGTCTCTATGAAATGGTAATGTCATGTGTGCTTTGCATTTCACATTTTTTCACTAGTGTAGTAGCGATTGTTTTTCAGTTTAGCAGAAATTCCTCTTCATACTCCTCAGCTCCTCTGTAATAAATCTAATTTTTGACATTTACAGGAAAACTTCTGAGCTGATTTTAGAGTTTTAAGTTTACGGAACAAAGAAACCAAACATATTTTTGGATATAAATATTTTTTTACACTACCATAACTATGTTGGGCAGTATCTCACCACACTTAGACTAATGAGTCTATCTTGTCTTAACCCTTTTCATCAAACTAAATGCTCTTAAAATCCAAGTACACTTAATTACACACTTAAGGATAAGGATAAACCTTTCATGCACACATATTTATCTTTAACTAGACCCTGCATGACTATCTAGGCTGTCATAAGAAAAATATTCTGCTAGAAATAGTGGTAGGGAACTCCTGCTCAAACACACCTGACTGATCTCATGTCCAGGTTAGGGTTTTTTGTAAGGGAAGAGAAATTAACAGACAAAGCTGGACTATGACCCTCCTTTGCCCACCTCTGTGCTAGAAGGTGGTGTGGACACTAATGGGCAGAACTGGTCCTTACAGGAAAACAAGTTAGCATCGTTGTTTCATTTTGCATTTGAGAGTAACAAGGTCTTCATTATAATATATAGATTAAAATTGTTTTTTCATTCTTGGCAATGTAATTGAGTAAGAGTTGAAAGAGTTCAGTATCAATAATACTAGAGTGAAGGATGAATCTCCCAAGATAACTCTTAAGTATAGTAACAGAGTACAAAGAGAGAAAGGAGAGACAGCAAGAAAGAAATTAAACTGAAGAGAAGAGAAAGAGAGAGAGAGAGAGCAAAAGAGAGAAGAGAAGGTAAGAGAGATAAGAGTGACAGAGAGAGAGAGAGAGAGAGAGAGAGTACAATCTCCTGAGCCTTCAAAGGGCACCTTTTTAAAGTGCACTTAAAAAGTCTGTTGTATTATACAACGGACTTGTGCATACTGAAAGTAACTTTACACCTTACCTACCTACTGTTTGTCCCAAAGTTTAGAAGCTTATCAGAATATCTGCTTATTTATGTCTTAACTCTTTGTAAAACAGGTCTAACATTGTGGAATTTTATGTAAGTTGAATAACTCGATGTCCTTCTTTTAAACACTCTGTATTGCAAAGACAAGTAGGACTCACTTAAAATTCAAACTTGGTGTTACTGTTTTAGCCAGATAACAAGGACAGAAACACCAGATGGACGGAATCTGCTTTCTGAAATACAGTCTTCATCAGATTTTTGAAACAATTAATAATTTATTTAATATAAAATTAAAGACACTAGACACTAAAGGCATTAAAGGTCAGCAATTTCCTGTCACTGACAATGTTCAAATAGTCATAAACTGAAATGAATGGTTTACATTCAGCAATTTTTAGGTAGTTAATTTATTTATTAATTAATTTATATACAGTAGTTAGATGCTTTCTTATTGGTCTAATAATGGTATGCTTTATGATGTTCTGTGCTCAACCTGTTAAACTTAGTGCTTTACCTATAGAAATTAGAAATTTTGGTATGACGACTAGATCATGCATTTCATAAATTTGACAAAACTTGGCACAGTATTACATTATTAACATTAACATTAATGGTGGGGTGAGTGTTAAGAGATCATGCTTATGGACAGAAGGCAGGCACTCTGCTGTGGTGCAGACACAGCCATACAATCTCAATCTCACCTCTTTAAGGTTGTTCTTCTGCTCCTTTTTATCTTCTCAAATTCTTGTTAAAATGTGATGGGCCTGTCAAAACACGAGGTAGTACCACAACAACACACAGAAGCAAAATTATTTTGGTGAGTGAAGCTCTTTAAACTTTGGCGCTGGTGACGAGACGTCACAGGTTAGAAAACATGCAGTCATTGGCAAGCTGGCAGATGTAGTGTGTCTGAGGATGCAGGGATACTACACACTTGTGTACTGAAAGTATGTACTTCTTTAATGGTCTAGCAGTACACACTGGATCGATTTCAGACACAGCCATAGTTACAGTTCTGATATAGTTCATATCCACATGAATGTTATTTGACATGAAGACAGACATCTTGAGGGTGTTTGGTAATACTTTTTCCATCTGAGAGACATTCTAAAGACTGTCTTTCATTCTCAGTTTTCCTGCAGCACAACACAGCTTGCATAACACCACAATGGAATGGAATGGTCAGCTTACAGACTTCCTTGTTTTGTTTTGTTTTTTGCTTTTTTTTTAAATTATTTTGAAAAAGGTTTCTGTTTGACCTGCTCTACCAACCAGGACTGCCAGAAATAGGATACAAGGAAGTTTTCTTAATGTCTTTCAGATCAGGCCTAAAAATACATCCTCATAGTTTTAATCCACAGCATTTAAAAAGATTAAATGTTACTGTTGCATATTATCTTGATTATCAGAATTTTAATTATTCAGAATTATTTTAGTGACTGCACAATACATTTTTTACTCCTATTTTTCTACTGAATCTCAAATATTCTACAAGAAAAAGGAAAGCTCAAGGCATTTCACTTTAATAATAATTCAAAGAAATGACTTTTTAATCCTGTTATTGTTATTATTAGTAGTATTAGTAGTTGTAGTAGTATTTGTTATTTAGTAGTTTTTATTACCATTTATTATTTAGCAATTGAATACTACAAGGTTATGAAATACTACAAGTTAATGGAAAAACATCACTGACAAGCAGCATGTAGCATTAAATGCTTTCACAGGGGATCCTAGTCAGTTACTAGTTAAATGCAAGTCATTACTAAAACCAAAGAGTTTAGTGATGACTTCTGGTTAAGCATTGTGACCAGTCACAATACAGGGAAAGGCTATAAAGCCATATCCAAGTGTTTTCAAATACCAGTGGCCACAGAGCAAAGCACAATCAAGAAGTACAAGGAGTTCCACAGAAATAGGGGAAAACATCAGGTCAACCCCATATTTAACTGAAAATATTACAAAGACAACACATCAAACATTGAAACTGAGAAATTTTATTAAACCCCAAAAAAAAACAAAACAAAAAAAAAGCCACATAATAAAAAGAAAAAAAAAGCCAGTGTCCAGACATACATACACAGCAACCTATGCTGGAAAACAAACCAGACAAAAACAGTAAATAGAAATCTAAAACATGACAGCAAGTATTACAATCTTAACAGTTTGGAGGAGAAAAAATTTAATTAAACTACCGAGAGGGACGTCACCGTTTATTCATTCATTTACATTCATGACAGTGTTCAGTGAAATGGTCCTATACCTTTTTATACTTCCTGATTGAACATGTATTAATATATCATAATCTCTCCAAGTGTATAGAAGAAACCAACTCAGAAAGCCACATTTTAAATGAGGGAGCAAATTCAGATTTGCACTCAGAATAATCGTTTTGCCAAATTCATTCCAAACTTTAATGCCTGCTGTTGTCTGGAATTGAAGATCTCAGAAAAAAAATGAGCTTGAGGGAGGTTAAATCTTGCATTCAATTGTGAACATGAAGAAAAATGATTTTCTATATATAGGTTTTTAAATTTATCTTCAACTCTTTTGCCACCATACAGAAAAAGCCATATTGATCACAACAAAAGAACAAAGTTGTGATCTTGGCAGATGGGGGACACATCTGGGCTTTTAGAAACAATTTCATTTGTTTCAGAATTTTCAGAGAGTTGTACAAAATAAACTGTTGAATAGAAGCTTGTTTGAAACCTCTATCCTACGAAAACAAGTTAGCACTGAGGGAGCTACTCTGCACTGCTTGAGCCTCCATATAGCTCCATTTTGGAATATCAATAGTGGTTGTGGCTTTCCTACCAGGAAAACAATCCAGACAGTGCATCATGGCTGGCATTGGCAGCCCAGTAACAGTGCTGAAAAACTGGTAAAGTTAGACCTCCTTTTGCTTTGGGTTTCTGCCAGTGAGACTTAGAAAGAGCTTTGTAACCCGAGACATAGGTTGCAATGTCTACATATGTTATTACGATGATGGTAAAATAGTGGAAAATCCAAAAAAGCAAGTTTTTTTTACTGTTTTGAACAGATGAGGTTGCAAATCTGTATTTAGGAATATTAGGAGATGAAGCACCAAACAGGAAGACATAATTGCACTCATCAATTCTTAAATCTCTATTGTGTTTAAACACAAATACCTGATTGAAAAAAAAAATGCAGTGATTGGAATTGGTCCACTAACATAATCACTTTCCATTAGAGTCTAAGCAACTGTACCCCTCCGCTACTGGGGTAATGTTTGTGATGTCAAAAGAGAAGATGCCCTCATAGTTACTTGTTAAGTAGTTTCTCAACCGACAGGCGGCCTGAATAGGAGATAAATGAAGAGAGATCAGTAATAAACAAAAGAATAAAACTACAGGCTGTAAAGTCTCATGGTAATGCCTTTAGCTGAAAGAAACTTTTATAATTAACATTTGGTACTCACTTCATACAGTGCACGCTGACGTTCCTCTTCTGATGAATTTTCTAGGACAAGAAGCTCCAACTCCAGGTTACTTATTATTGTGACAACATCTACAGAAAGAAGATACATCATATCAGTATGACAAGTGGATAACTGGCATGCATACACATCCACACAAACTCATACTACACCTTTATGTGAAGGAGTAGTAGTAGTGCCAGTGGTTGGAGATGCAGTAGAGAAAACCACTGGAGTGGGAGGAGCTGTGGCGTTGAATGGACTGGGCTTGGTTGCATTGAGCTGAGGTGTTGTTGTTTTATTCACTGTAGTGGGATGAGTGGATGCGTCCAGCTGTGGAGTGGTGGAGCTATGTGTAGTTGGTGTCACCCCTGTGGATGGAATGAGATTCGTCATGAATTTTTCAAAGTAAATATTGAGCGCACCTGTACTGTCTTGAGTTTCTGTAGTGACTGGAGCATTAGTATATGAGGGAGCTGTTTGTGGGATGAGACCAAGTTCCCAATGTCAGTGCATGAGAATAGTTTCTCAAAAAACAATACCCATAAATGAATATTTTCCAGCACTGAATATGATGTGGAAAATCTGTTTCATTTTTGTTTCCCATTAAACATTTTAGTGTATTATTGAAAGGTCTTGCACATTTATATAACAAACTAGTACAAATAATAGATTATCTTCCTGGTAGATCTGTACTGTCGATGAAAAAGAAAAAAAAAAACAGCTACATAATATAAAAAGACAGCTGATTAGCTGAAGTAAGAGCATCTTAAACATATGAATGCAATATTTTATTTTTCAACCTAATCTCTGTATACAGTGTTATTACTCACACTGTCCTCTTAATATGCACAAAATATTTCCTTTGATAAACACTTCACATGATGCTGTGGCTAGTAAGTTGCCTGAACATATTTTATGAGACTTTATATTAGGCGACTTCACAAGTCCTGAATTTATAATATAATGCTTGATTTGAGTAGAGATTAGTGTAAAGAGTAAACTTGCCAACAGGTTTGGGAGCAAAGTTGCATGAATTAAATAAAAGTTTAAGCCTGTTATAGAATCTTACAAATCTAATCTTTGTGATGTATCATTTAGCTATTCTGGCATTTCACATTTGTTTAGAAAAAGTGACAAGCAAATTACGACAGCAATATAACAAGTACAGATATTTACGTAGTATTTCAAAATGTAACTTAAAGACATATATGATAACATAAAGACACAAATTGGTTCTTCAATTATTTTTTAGTGAGAAAATTTTGTATCATACACATCTAAAAACCAACTGCTAGGAGACTATGAACTGCACAACTGACTCTGGATCTAGAACTATGAGGGAACTTTAACAGCCAGTTAGGGTGTTGTGGAAAATGTGGTCCAATGTCAATATCCGATAACTTTCATGTACATATCTGCTGATGCCAGGATATGAACATTAAGAGCGTAAGAATTGGAACTGGATCCATCTGGTTTAGCATTTTGGAGAAATAAAATACTTATTTATAGAGGGTTACAAATGAAGGAAAATGAATAAAATGCAGACCTTTGGTGCTTTAGCATTCTGCTCTTTTGGAGTACAATAAATACATTGTCAAATATCAGTAGAAGGCCAATGAGAACAATGAAAGGACTCATACAGGCAAAAACAGTGAGCAAGCACTTCAGTCAGAATCCACTGACTCAGTTTTACACTGACAGCACTCTGCCTGTCTCCCGCTGGCTCACACACTCTTAGAAACTAACTACTCCGCCTCATTCTTGTCCTCATACCGTATGAGATGAAAGATTGCAAAGATAAAAAATGCACCATAGCATTATATGCTCTACCAAAAAGATAATTTCTTCCTTGTTGCCAGAAAAGCATTTGCATTCAGCCTTTATGATTCATCACAGTCTAATGTTGATCACCCTGAAACACCACATTCTGTAAGGTAGCAAGAAAATGCTGAATCATTTTGATGGTGGCCTCAACAAAAACCTGACCATTAATGATTTGGTTAGCAATTAAACAGATCTGTTTACAAAGGCCATCTTACAAAGTTTCCTTTCAGCATATTTTTAGGCTGAGCAGATAATTAACTTATGATCTCTTTACATGATAACATAATTTTTCACAACACTTGAACTTCCTTTTTGCACAGTGCCACTTTGACTCCGTTTTTAAAGTTAATCAGCAACTGACCATTACACGACACCAAGACAGCTGTTGCAGCATCTTTTAAAGTGCTGTAACTGTGACTAATATTTTCTGCCAGATATATTGGCCTTTGACTTGGACTGACACATGGATTGAAACACAGATTCTAATGTTTCATTAGAATTCAACTCAAATTACATCCACCTTGTAGATCTTCTTCCATGCACAATTTGTGTTAGTCACAGTGACTGACAGCGGTGTTTCCCTGTCAACCTGTCATGAGGGCAGTGGTGACTTACACCACAAACAATGCAAGAGATGGATTGGTGTAATTCAGTCCTCCACATTTGGTTTTATAGAACAAGCCTAAACTCCAGGAGAATAGAACATTTTGCTCCTCTTGAACGGTCTCTGAACGGTAAAAAGTGCAAAATGGAGAACAAGTTGTCTAATGATGACTTTAGCGATTGAATTACATTTTTTCAGCTAACGTTCAAGAACTCAGGCTTTCATCTTATGACGGGTAGTTCACAGACATATTGTGTCTGATATTTAAATGCTTGACACAAAGGTTATATTTATGACCTATAGCCAGCTAGCTAACTTAGGGGTGGGCAATATAATGATATTTTATTGTTATTGTGATAAATTTTATTATTGTGATAGATGATATGCTTTTGTGAGTATATTGTGGATATCACCAGTACTTAAAGAACAATAAACAACTACATGTTTGATTAAAAAAGAGAGCATAATTAGTCATGTTTAATTGGTTTTAGTGCCCTACAGAGTGTGAAATGTCGAATAAAGAGTTTTAAGTGTCAGTTTTTTTAATGTCGAACTACTAGTGCACTGTGTCTGTGTGTCAGAATGTTGTGGTATGTATCATGTATCTCAAAAATGTCATATTTTGTGCTTCTTAAACTGTGGTCAGACAATATTATTTGTGGACGCTGCGGAAAAGAATGTCTTGCGTGCCTTATTGGACTCCACGCCTATAATGTGTATTTGGGTGGGGGTGGGGAAGCTAACATAATACTAAGCTAACATATCATTTTATTCCTACAGTTAAGATAAATCATGACATGTTTTATTGATTTTCTAAATGAAATTAAGTTAACACATCCTCTGCCGGGAACACACTTAAATATGGTATTTTTCATTAAATTTTTTATTTTTCTTTAACATATTGGGAAAAATAAAACTTGCCATAACTGTTGCACAGGCCACATTTTAAGTTTTATTTTTATACTCAATATGTTAAACTTAGCAAACAAACCATAACAGTTCATTAAAATGTGCAGAAGTATGTTCTCTGTAGAGGGTGTGTTAACTTATTTTCCCTTAGAAAATTGAAAATAACATGTCATTTGACCAGGGCCCCCAAACGTTTGCATACAGCCGTATTTATTTATTTATTTATTTATTTACACTTAAAAAGCCAGAACAGGGTAGTCAGTGATCAGAATGATGTTTAAAACTATTTATAAACTTTATATGTTTTGGGATTATTTAGTACTTAATACAATACTTTTAAAACTTTTTATTCCAGCTGAATATTTTGGAAATGTTTGGAAACTTTGTATCTTTGCAATTAATATTTTTTTTTCAATATTTGTCATAATTATATGAGCCATGTTATCAAATGGTAAAGTCTTATGAGTGGCACAAGCAGAGAGACATGCAGGTGCTGCTGCAGGATCACGTATAGAGGTGCAAAGCAGACATCTGATGTTTTTGAGTAGAGTTATTTGTTTGGTTCTTAAGGGCAGAAGAGAGACATGCAAGTTCTGCTATGGGGTAAGTTATATAATAGACATATATATATATATATATATATATATATATATATATATATATATATATATATATATATAGACATGATAGGATTTCAAATGCCATGTGTTGACGCACCTGAAGATGTTGTAGGATCAGTTGTAGTGGTGGGGTCTGATAGCTGGGTAGCGGAAGAATGCAGTGCATTTGTAGAGGCAACAGTGGTATCTGTAGAGGAAAAGCCCTGCGTTGACCCACCTAAAGTTGTAGAGGTGGGTGCCAGTGATGTGACTTCAGTTACAGTAGTGGGATCTGGTTGAAGCATGGAGACGGGTACAGAAGTAACAGTGGTGAGTGCTGATGCTGATGTTGTTGTAAAGGGTGTTGAAGATGTTGTTGTTGTAGACGTTGTGGTTGTTGTAGGTGGGGATATGTCCTTTCTAGCCCAAAAAGTCTCAAAGTTCTCAACAAATGTAGCTCTGAGAAGTCATAAAAAACAACAGTAGTCACAACAAACAAAATTACAACAACAGCTGGCATTTTTTAACAAACACATATCTTTTCACCCACTGTACTGCCAGAATAATAAAAACTGTTAGCAATTAATTTTGTATGATGGTTTTCAATACCTGAAGAAGTATCGTCCAGTGTTAGGAGCGCTCCATAAGACCCTTACTTCAGTTTTATCTTGGTTAGCGGTTTGTGTAACAGCTCTACCCTGGATAAAGGCAGAGATATATTTAAACATATACATATTTTAAACTGCTTTTTAATCAGTCATTTGAAACATAATCACCGTTTATGCAAATTTCTTTCATTAGACATAAGCAGATATGAACATGAATTTTTCTTCATGGTTTCCTTATACAATCTTAAGTTCTTAAGTTAAATTAAATCTTAAGAAGTTCTTAGGTTAAATCTCAACTCTAAACTCAGCTCTGATCTCAACACTGACATCTTAAACTACAGTTTAAATTACAAAGGGCCTGTTCACACCCTGCATTAACATGCATTTTTGGTAATCTTATCACTTTCAGGTTTTGTTTGACCGCATGAAAAGCCAGGTGTAAACAACCCCTGGACACACTGTGATGGCATTATGATCAAATCACTCAAACCACATTCGTAGGCACACTGTCACATCTGTCACACTGGAGACATGTAAATGGAAAACTCCATGTGACCAGTATCTGAATTGGAACGTGAAAAGATTTTAGCCACATGCATTTACACTTAGTCACATGCATCTCTGTTTAGACAGACTGAAATCTGATTGCTGTGTGAGAGAGAATATGCAAATCAGCTAACTGTGTGGCAACCAATTACCAATTGTTTATGCGTTCAGCCTTTTCCTGTGGTATGCTGAAGATGCTTGCTGCCTCCAAATTTGCAATTTTGCATGCTGTCATGCCTTTCTTTAAACTTAAGGGTACCATGTGCATCCTTCATTATTATTTTCCTCATATATATGGATCACATGCCCAGTACTGCACGTGGGGACGTTTTGGTTGTACTGGGAAGGGTTTCGGTTGTCATATGTGTCTTGGAGAGACGGACACGTTTACACTGCTATACCCTGTGGTTCCACTGCTTCTCAGGCCACCTCCTAAAGTGATTTGAGAGATCGGATTTGCATCTGCTTTAAATGCGTCTTGAGCACCTTTACACTTGCTTTTTATGTGGCTTGGCCTTATCCAGATATAATCCTGACATTCAAGGAGCATAAAGTGACCAGGTGTAAATAGGTGCAGAAAGTTCACTTTTGCATGCCTGTCTTCTGATCAAGACCTTAGCACTATTTAGAAGCTAAATTAAACACAAGAATAATGTTTGTAAAGTAAACATTAATAACAAAAAATCATCATCATTCATAATACATGTCGTGTTGTGAAGTTGTTGACAATATACAGCTCTATGGGACACTCACAGCAGTCCCGTTACAGCTCTGGAGTCTGCTGATGGCTGAGTCCAGCAACGAGAATACACCCACAGGTGGACCGTCATTGGTTTCTCTTGCCTCCAACATGAAGCCACGGAAAGGCCGACCCACTGAATTAGCCGTGAGGGACACTTTAGCAGTAAAGGGAATGAAAAACAAAAGAAAATACACTTACAAGGATTACTGATTACTTGCTGTGTCATTCTACAAGCTCTTGTTCTGGTAACACACTGAGGTGTTGCCTCATACAGTGCAAAGCAATGAGAACAAAATTTCACATTCATTCAATCCTTCAAAAATGTACAAGCAATAAACCTCAAAAATGGCCATTGCATACCATGTTTCCAAGCCTGGTACAAAACACTGATGCAAGGTTTTTTCCTACAATTTAATAAAAAAATTCAATATGGCTTGTAGTTAACCATTTGCGCATATGAGCGAGGCTGCATCTTGAACCATGACCTTCTGTCTTTTTTGATTCCTTCATTATGTAACTGCTCATTTACCTTGCTATTATCAGCTAAACTGTCCCTGTAGCTGATATGAACACTGATTGGTCTGACTAACATCTGACTTAACAGAACATCTTATGAAGAGGCCTTTACTGAAAGTAAAGAGAGAATAAAAAGAATGTATCATAATTCAATCAATCATATTTTGCCGGAATATAAAACTACTTGGAAAGTCATTTTTAAGAGAGACTGAAAAAGAGACTCACCATTAACAACTGTTCCCAAAACTGTGACATCAATATAATCAGGATCAACTGTAAAAGGATTTGATGCTGGATCCTGATTGGACAGGCCATCATGATCAACTGCCATTGACTGACACACATCTTGATTGCCATCAAAATTGCCATCACTAAAACATTTCACGAAGGGTAATGTGGTTCCTCCCAGGTAGATGAAAAGCAGAACTGTGTACATCTATGGAACAAAGAAGAAAATAAGACATTGTTTAGATGAAGATTTAATTCACAGACAACCTAATTAATTACTCTCATTACAACACCACCAAAACAAATTAGCACAGGTTTAAATGGAACAACCATTCCACTATCAGCTTACTCAACAGGGTGCATTTAACTATTAAAATAATAAACAATGAAAGGCATAGTTTCGTTGAAATATCAAATTTAAATAAATTTTGACTTAGCAAATGCATAACAAAAGTTTGCCTAAATAACTACATAGTAGCCTCAAGTTCTGCAATCTCAAATAGGCTTGCTTGTGTGGTTTCTAACACTATGTGACATACTGTAGTAAGAAAGTTTGTCTACAATCCACCATTTCACGTTATACTATTCTGAATGACTTTTTAGCTGTTTGCAGCTCTTGAGTTAGGCAGAAATTTTGAAAAATCAACTTTAAACACATTATTATTCATATAGTTTGTACTTATGTATCTGAGTAGTTGTTTACAGATTTGCATTATCTTACACGTTGTTATTTTTGGTGTATTTTATTTATTTTTGCATTTAAACTTTCTGTGATCATTAAAAACATTAATTTTTCATACTTGAACGTAAAATAGTATGAACTGTGGGGCCCCCAAGTATTACCAAGGCCCTATTCATCAGCCTAGTAGCCTTATATGGATAAATTTAGAGGATAAAGTCTTCAGATCACAGTCAGACAAAGAAAAGTATCATTCAATAATGAGCCATATAGATGGAAATGGAAATAAAAAGCAGTATTGTAGTTATACTGCAGGAATGCAAATGTATACATTGTATGTTGTATTTGATATTCAGGAGTGCACATTCACACATTCACAATGCTGCAGTTAGCATGTAGCCACTTACCTTGGTGCAGATGCACCTGTTCTTTCTGATTTTTCACAGGTTTAATTGGCAAAGCAGGGGTCTTAAACTCCTGTGTTTGGTGATTTCCCTGCTCAAACACACCAGATTCAGCTAAAAAAGGTTTAATGGGTGTGTTTGAACAGGGAAATGACCAAATTGTGCTGGACACCAGCCCTCCAGAAGTTCAAGACTGCTGGGTAAAAGAGTGTTCCACTGTGTTTAATCCAGATTCCAAACCCTTCCTACTTTCTGTCTAGTAAATAGGTAAAACTCATTTTCCCCCTCCAAAAACTTAATACTGAGTATTTAAAAGTATCACACACACAATGTAATGACACTAACTAGACGCAAGCCTAGTTGAAGTTGCTAATCTTGGACAATCAGTAGCTGGGGCTATAATTGCTTTGCATCAAATCATATTACGTTGCATCATATTGTAGCATGTTCAAGAAACATTTTTTTTCTTATTATTTCAGAAAATCAACTTTTCTCCCACATATGATATCAAGTAACGACACTTTCCCACATTTAGTATATGTACTTTGTGATTATGCAACACTGACTCATAGCTATATTAAATACAGAGCTAAGATTTACAGAAAGCATATTTTTGCCAAAGTCTTTGCATTTGTCAGAGACCTGATATTAATAAAAATAAAAAAAAAATACAATTTACAATCAATTGTCAAATATTGTTGTATAATTGCACTGTGGGCCTCTTGATTTAATTTCAGATCTGATCGTGTTACTGACACTTGTAGTCTTGAGCTGAAACGCGGTATATCATCACTTCTTTGAAACATGGGCTAGAGGCTAAATGTTTCATGTGACATATAGATCAAATCATTCTACTTAGCTCTTAATCTCTTCTTATTTAAGAAACAAACATGTAGCCATGGAAATACCCTTATATTCCAATATATGTTCCCAATTTGACACTTTTTTTCTAATAAGTGATTGGAAATTCAGCTGTAAAAATGAAGAAATGTTTACCTTTACTCGTAGACTCAGCTCTGCATGTTTCGTTTTGATGTAGCAGTGTTGACTACAGCGAGTGAGTGACTGCTATTAAACCAAAGAAAGAAATGTCCTTACACGGTAACTGAAAACCAAAGCAAGTGGAACAGCCCAAGGGGGCGGGGTTAATGTTTTGCCCAGACAGGGTCAGAACTCATGTTGGAATATGCAAGAGTTTCTCTGAGCTCTTCAAGAGTGGCACACATGTCTACACCAGAGTAAATGTCCACCTCATCACTATATATCTGCTGCCTATGTGTGTCCAAAAGAAGTGTAATAGCTCAGACTTTCCCTGTAATTCATTAACTGTCAGTAGCCTACAGAAGGATGACAAGAAATAGATGCAAAATACTCAAAGTGATACTGAGACTAATATTAAACAGTAGACATACTGGGAATAATAGTGAGACAGAACATTAAAGTGGAATACACCGAGCTGTGGAGGTGCAAACAAAATCTCAATAAGCATATTTTTATAGCTGCAGTGCCACCTACTGAAATAGGTGCAATATTTTTTTTCTTTCCACACTAAAATACTTGTGTTTCAGATAATGTTTAAAAGAGTGATTTAGAAATTTTGTTGATATTTGCTAGTTCTCAAATGGATTTTCACAGCAGTTACACACATGTAAATGTTTTTAATATCAAGCTCCAACACACTAAATCACAGCCCTCTGAGTAGAATGCTCTGTAATGGAGAGCATTAGGAGAAGAGTTCATTATATTTTCAGAATACTGTTTGTTTTAACAGGCATTTTCATAGAACTGTGTCCATGAGTTCTGCACTGTAATATGCAGGCTCTACTGTAGTTTGCTTTACTTGGATTTACAAAAATGGATGAAACACAGTGGCGTAACTACTGTTAGGGCATGGGGAGGGTGGGGGGCAGACATTCACACTGAGGCCCATGGCTCAGGGGGCTCTGGAAATCTTTTCAGATTCAGATTCAGATGACTGACACATTTGCACACCCATGACTCACAGAAAGATCTAATTCGTAACAACAGACCTCCCTAGTTAGCTTCTATCAACACTGCACAGACAGAACTGACATCTGTTTATCACCCTCTTGTTCATAATTCATCTCAAACATGATAACTGTTTTCAAACGCATGCTTTAACAGCATCAAAGAGGTAAGCTAGGATTGGAAATACGTATTAGTTTCTTAATCTGGGTCTAGGAAACCAACTTCACGATCAAATGCCGGACCTGAGAAACCTTAATTAAAGCTGCTTAACAACGACCCAGGTGGGACTTGAACCCACAATCCCCAGCTCCGGAGGCTGATGCCTTATCCATTAGGCCACTGGGCCATTTCAATATGTGAAGTGCAGCTTCATAACACAAAGTTTACCTTTGAATATATGTTGTTTATGGTTTCATCATTCATTGCTAAATCAGTGTAATCAGTCCTTTTTAAACCAGTGAGCTGAGCAGATAAAATGAGGTTAGTTTTCTTGGAGCATTTCTTAAAACAGATTAGATTCACAACCAGCCTTCTTGGCATCAAGCAGCTAGCTGCACAGGATATTTAAATGTAATGCAGTCCCTTGTTTTTCACAGTTTTGGGTATTTTTGCTGTTTAGAGTTAATTAGATGTGACATTTGGAGTCTCTCAATGGAGACACTAAGGAAGCATTAGGTCCGAGTAAAGATCTGAATAAATCAACCAGACCCGGCCTATACATCAGGCATATCAAAATCAACTGTTTGGTCCATTGTTAAAGAGCAAAACAAGTTTTCCAATAGCAACAACCTGACTGGAATGACTGGAGAATGGATGACAGAAGAATATTTTCAGTCATGAAGAAAACCCTTCAAAACTGTAGGAAACATCATGAATACCAGAGATACAAGTGAATAATATACCAACTTGACCTCAGTGGATTTACCACAAGATGTAAATCACATGTAAACCTTAAGAACAGAAATACCCAGATAAAGACTTTAGTAATCAAACAGATATTGCAGAGGAGCAATAACAGAATGCTGAGGGGAATAATGAGACAACTATTGTGCAAATCCTGGGGGCAATACTGAGACATTAAACATTATACAATAAAAGTACATGTGAAACATTAAAGAGTAGAGTGTAACAGCCTGCAGTAAACTATGAAGTAATTTTATGCCCTCTGTTTGAGGTACTTTTATTTTTGGTCTGTAATTTTAGCTCCCCTTGGTATTGGTTTGTCAATATTTTCTCTCTGTTTCTGAGTTGATTACTTTGTAACTATCATTTTTTGTTTGTTTGTTTGTTTCTTTGGGTTTTGTTCTTTTGTTCTTTATCTGTACATTTGAAGGCTTCCATAAACAAACAAAGAATCAATCAATCCTCTTCCTCTACCTTTTTTTATATATCTTTCAGGATATTACCAATCACATTTGGGAAATACATACAGTACTTCATAAATACACAAAAAAGCAGCCAGAAGGCATAATTTACCAACAGTAGTATTCAGTATGCTCTTAAAAATGGTTTTTCAAGGGTTCTTTAGTAAAGAAAATGGTTATATATAGGTTCTATTCTGAATGATTAAAGGGTTCTTTGCATTGTGAAATGATTCTTCAGACTGATAGAGAATGTGCTGTATATGGTTCTGTATATAGCACCAAAAAGTGTTCTATTGTTCAAAGCAGTAACAGAAACCTTTTTGGTGCTATATACAAAACCATATACAGCACGTTCTCCATCATTCTGAATGACCCCTTCACGATGCAAAGAACCCTTTAATCGTGCAAATATAGAACCTATATAGAACCATTTTCTTTACTAAAAACCCTTGAAGAACTATCTTTTTTAAGAGTGTAAAAGACAAAGCATAGTGAAGTCAGTGTATTTTGTACGAGACTGTAGTACAGTAATTGATTTCTCTGTGAAAGAAAAGGCTTCTTTATTCGCTACTTTCCGTCAGCTTATTTCCCACTCCTGGTTCTGTGGGTTATCGATAGCACATAAATGCTGCTCATGGGCGACGTGAAGGTTTTTCCGGTGTTGTGTTTATTGTCATTGCTTCAAAGGCGGTGGACGTGGCAGCTCAGTCACGTGTCTAAACAAATGGTCCAATCACAGCGCTCCCGGAGACGGCCACACAATTTCAAACGGTTCGCTTGGTGTGAAAAGCAGCGACTTGCTGTGAGAAACTGCTGGTCTTCGTGCAACAAATAGAAGTCTTGGTTTGTGTCTTTGAGCTGACTGGGGACTTCATGCAGCATTCGGCCTTAAACGGAAGATTTTCTTTTCTTTCTTTTTGAATGTATCGCTAAAGAGTCGTTTTTCCTCGGATGTCCGTGGCGTGGTCCCAATGGAGTCGCATGTTATCACCCCTGGTCCGTACAGGGCCACTAAACTGGTAAGAGAGTAAACTTAGGCTTTCTTGCTAGCTAGGTTAGCTAGCGTAGCTGTTATGCTATTTTAAGCACCTGTGCATTCTTTGAAAGGCGCATTTGAGCCCTATATACAGTTCAGTTTGCATGTTTGTGTATTAACTTAACAACTTGTGTGTACTATTAGTTTTAATATACGTCGTAATCGCTGTGGGTTTAAATCGGTGTTCATTCGTTCGGAGAGGAGAGCTAGCTTGTTGATATAGCAAAGTTAGCGACAGACGTTAAGCTAGCGGTGAATTTGACTTAGTCAACTTTCTTTTCCTTGTGTAACTGCAGTGGAATGAAGTGACCAAACTTTTTCGGGCGGGCATGCCTCTGAAAAAGCATCGGCAGCACTTCAAGGTTTACTCGAACTGCTTCACCGCGACTTCAGCTGTAGACTGGCTACACGAACTTCTGAGGAACAACAGCAATTTTGGACCAGAGGTCACTAGACATCAAACTGTTCAGCTCTTGAAGAAGTTCTTAAAAAATCACGTTATTGAAGATGTCAAGGGGCGATGGGGTTTTGAGGACCTGGAGGACAGCAGTCAGCTCTACAGGTAACGTTAGGCTAACTAACTCTACCGTGCAGTGTGTTTCAACGCGTCTTGCATGTGTTTTCTGTGTGAAAATGTCTAGCATGCTCTCATAGCAGAATGCTTTGCAGGTTTCCATCAACATCCCCTCTGAAGCCAATTCCTGTTGGTCCTCAAGGCGTAAGAAAAAGGAGTGTGTCTTTGAAGGACAGAGAGGGTTTCTTCAAATTAAGAGGTTCCAAGAAATTTGACCATGAAATCCAAGTGAGTTTTGAGTTAGGGGCCTGGTCACGGTGGTTTCCATTTGTTTTCCATAAGTTTTCTGTTTTTATGCTATTGTGATGAACTATTTCCCACAGGAGAACATCTCTCCAGCAGTAGAAGATTCAACAACTGATACACATTCAGAGGAGAACTCCAGAGATATCACAGAAGAGGACATTCAAGATATTTGGAAGAATGTAACCTTAACGCAGTAAGTTCTGCTGTTTACTTTTGAAGAAAAATATTGTTAATTATTCTTGTAATTGATCAAGCTGTACTGTGAATCTTGATTTTTATTTGCCTCATTGACCTCTGTGCAGAAAGCTGTGTAAGTAAATGGGTGAACTGTCATAGAGGTGTGTGTTATGAGTGTGTAATTCTCAGTATTAATATGATAGTATTCTCTTTTTTTCCAGTTTACAGAAGTTACTGGGTCTGCCTTCGCTAGATGATGTTTTGAATCCCACACAAATTGATTCCTGCTTCATTGTGTATAACATGACCAAAGTCAACAAGCATGGCGTTGTTACCCTAGATGATAAGACAGGTGGGAAAACGTGTATAATAAAACACGCAATAACAATACCCAAATTAGGTCGTCGCTGTGGACATGCTGCACATCTTATTGTTATTCATTTATTTTTTTCCATAGATGATTTGCCACACTGGGTTTTGTCAGCCATGAAATGTCTTGCAAACTGTAAGTACGAATGTAATTAAAATCTGTAGTGATACAGATTTGTCAAACCTTACAACTACATAATAAATGTTATGTTTTATTAGAACAAATACATTGAGACAAAATTGATTTATTTCTTTTAGTTTAGTCAGCCGGATCATTTGATGACATTCCTGTAGCGTAACATTGTCTCCACCATATTAAATTGAAAATGGGTAATGTGCTATGGTTGTGTTAAAGGAGCTTTATGGTAGTTTTAAAGCTAACATTGCAGTTTCAGGTGTAATAACAATACTAACCACTTTGTTGTACGTTGTGTGTTTCGGGTGCTAAAATTCTCAGTAAAAATCTCACTTTTTTTTTATTGTGTAATATTGAGATTTTATTTAAGTTTATTTCAATAATTTTTTTAATGAAACAACTGTTTTGGATTTGACTTTATGCTTTTTATGGACACTAAAGGGCCGAAGTTTGACTCAAACCAGCCATCTTATCCAGGCTTTGAGAGGGATGTCTTCAAGACAGTGTCTGACTACTTCTACAGCCTTCCCCAACCACTGCTTACCTTTCAGTACTATGAGTTGTTTGTTAACGTTTTGGGTATGTGTGCATATTTCTGCTTTTTGTCAACTTTTGATATATCCAGTTGTGTTGTCTACCACAGTTTGAACTACCGCAACACATTTGACCAGTTTGATTTTATTATGGATTCCACATTTAATGGTTCTGTTGTCTCTAACATGATGTGATCTGTGAAGAATGAGGAAACCTGCCTGTTTCAGCATTGTTTCATACTCACCATAAAAAAAATTCAAATTTCATCCCTCTAAATGAAATCAAATGTCAAAAAGCTTGTTTACAAATTGTCAAGCAGATGCTTGTCATGCTGAAAGACATTAGTAGAATAGGGGGATGAAATAATGGTTGGTATTTGATTCTCTTATTTCTCTGAAAACAAATTTGTTTTGCACAATTAACAGTTTTCTTTTACTCTGTTGCTTTTTTTGTTGTGGAAAAACTAACCATTCTATGTGCCCTTTCTCCAAGTACTTCCTCTCTTTACCAGTGTCTGCTTGCTTGTTTGTTGTTCATGTTGTTTTGTCTGGTCCTTTGCTAGTTGTGTGTGGCTATGTCACAGCTCCAAGAACTCAACGTGGAAAGCGCAAAAACCTGGAAGAACCGAGCTGTCCTCAACCGGCTAAAGCCCCTCACTTGAACACTGCCAACCTTTTCAGATCTACAGAATGCCTCTTGCTGAGCTTGATCAGAAAAGAGGCTTTTGAGGAGACGGAGTCCCCTATGAGAGAAGTGTTCATGTCTAGAATAAAGACCCAAGCAGCAGCCTCAAGAGCACGCTCCGCTGGTGCTCCTGTTAACAGATTTCGACCCAGGAGCTGCTCTCTGGAGAGAATCCTGGATGAATCAGGTGATTCGTGTTCAAAACATGAGCTCTTCAGGTCTGTGGAAAGCCTCGCATCCAGCAGGACTAACACTAGTGAGGGTTCATCCCCTCAAGACAGCTCTGTAGCAAACACTAAACCTGAGTGCCACAGTTTTTCCTCCCTGGCTGTAATGTCCTGTAAGACCTCCTCAGGTGAGACTCATCCTAATGTCCATCCTTCACAAACCGATAGCAGCAGCAGCAGCAGCAGCAGCAGCTCTAGCTCACATCTGTCCTCAGAACATCATCTAATCAGTGAGGAACGGAGAGCTGTCAAAGCTCGCCCCAGAAGCATTGGAAACTGCCTTGACCTTGTAGAGCACAGGGAAATGTCTGCAAGCTGCTTCAGCATCAATGCTCCAGTAGCAGAAATTACAATGAGACCAGACTCTTCTTCCTCCACCTTTGGCCTTAGAGGCAATGGCTTGGTCCGTTTGCATGGAAGCTGCTTGGATGTCAGCACAAGGCCTACCATTACCAGACGTTGTCACAGCTCACTGGACCTGTGCAAGCCTGTGCACTCTCGCCCCTCAGTGTCCTCTGTTGCACGCCACTTGAGTCCTGAGCAAAGTAAGGCCTGCATGCATCTGTCCACTGCACTATGTGTTTTACCTGTATTTGTGTTGTTTTTGGACATGTGACTGTGTGTATTTCTAACATTTTCATATTAACATGCATGTGTCTAACCTTTTAACGTTCATTTTCCCCATTCATTTATTATTTTTCACTTGTGCCTCTTGTTCTTTAGTGATCTCAGTGGCTTTAAACCATCTACTTCAAATTGTCTTTTTAGACATCATACATTCTTTTTTAATGTATGGACAGACATTTTTAGAGTGTATGTTTGGTGTGTTTGAGTGTGAGGAAAATGTAAATAATTTGCCATCATTCTCCATTCATGCAACAGATGCATCTTGTTTTTGTGTGTATTAGTCTTGCATGCAGGAACAAAATAATGAAAACCCTGTTAAAAACATTTAGAGTAATAATTAAATATGACTTGTAGCTGTATTTTTACATTTTTGTCTATATAATTTAGCTGTGATTTTTGTCTATAATTTTGCTGTAAATGTAAAAACACTAGCATTCAAAAGTTATTAACTAAATAAAAGCAAAAAGATAAACGTATAAACAATTCCATGCTAATCATGTACAGTTTCACAGGTTTTAAATAATTAGTGGGGTACTAGGCAACACACTAGGCAAAAAAAAGGAAGCTGTATACTGTAGAGATTTAAGGTATAATGAAATTAATATCTAGAATTTATCATATTGTAAATGTGGAGATGTCAAGTCAGAAAACTTGACAAATTAATGTAAATTACAATACATCATTTCATTCACTTGTTCAAGGATTTCTTGAAATATCAAAAAATATCTAAATGTGCATTTTGGCGAATAGTTTGTAATAGTTCAATCCATACTATAAGTTTAAAATAAGTTAATGGCAAGTGATTCCAAACAGTAGTGTGCATCAGTTTGAAATGTATTTCATGTAGAAAGTATTCTTCTCGTAGGAAAAGTTAAAAAATATTTGTCAAATGCAACATCAAATAGGGGTATAAACCCATAATGACCTAACCGAACGCACATTTTATTAAAATAAAATAATTGGGATATACAGCAATGGAACAAGGAAGTTGAAAACCACAAATATGAATTTACTCTCCTGTGACTTCCACAAAGCTGAGGTTTAGGGTAGGGCTTTCATTTATTTAATCTGTGCCTGTATGACTAATGTGTGCTGAGTTTGTTTTGTATGATTGGCCATTATGATTACACTGTGTTTTCCCAGTTTGAGTGTTGTTATTTGTGTATGAATTGCCTATGCTGTATTACAATACTGTAAAAAAATGTCGCTCTTTACTACGTTGTGTTTTTGTTTTTTTTTGTTTTTTTTGGACTGCCGGGTTTTGCAGGGTTACTGCAGCCTGCCCTGGAGCGTCTTGCAGTTGAAGCCCTGCAGCTCTGTACACTTCTTCTGCCTCCTGCGTCCCGCCGCAAGTTGCAACTTCTCCTACGCATGATGTCCCGCATGAGCCAGAATGTGGACATGCCCCGGCTTCATGACGTTATTGGTACACGCACATTGGTGAGGAACATGTCCTTGCATAGTTGCAGTTCTGCTGTCTCTCAAATAAGCACTATATAATGGTTAAAGTTAGACAAATTATATGAAGTAGTAGTTCTCTCTGTGTTTAGGGAACTTATTCTACTTCCTACTTTTTAGCTGGTATTTGCTTGTTAGAGTATTTGCATGTGCTGTGCCTTTTCTTCTACTAGTAGTCTGTCTTAAATGCTTCTGTAATATACTGATGAAAGTTGTGTGTGTAGATGGTGCAAACATTCTCTCGCTGTGTATTGCGCTGTGAAGAGGAAGTAGATCTGGATGAGCTATTGGCCACCAGGCTGCTGTCTTTTCTAATGGACCATCATCAGGAGATACTCCAGGTGCCAGTGTACCTGCGCAATGCTGTTGAGGACCATATTGCCTACCTCAGATCACAGGTGATTTGACACACTTTGTCTACATCACACAGCCTTTATTTATCAAAAACTTCTTCTTACAGTATTAGACTAGCTTTCAACACCATTGTTAGGTTTTATTACCACAGACAAGAACTGTGCTGTCCAAATAGTGGGCAGTTGACATGCCTCTGAAATGCACCTTGACACTCCTGGGCACCCATCTTACCAGAATGTGGTGTTCTGTGTTCCTTTAATGGTAATATTTGGAAAGAGAGTGCAGTTCTATAAATATTTGGACGCTGGGGTTTTTTGTTGTTGTTTTGGCTCTATTCCAAAGTTAAACAATCGTCAGATGAAGCTACATGTATGCGCATCTGATCAAACAAAAGGTCTAGAGTTAATGCTAGATGTGTCATTTGCATCTGAAGTCTGTGGCTGTTTTTCAAAGAAGTGTCAATGTCAGTAAAGTGGGCCATTTTGAGGCTGACAAATCTGAATAGAGATATAGCTAAAAATTAGATGTCAATCAGCTGTTTGAAACAAGAATTCATTGGTGAGTGTAGCAACGGCAAAGACTTGTTAGGCTAGGTACTTTAATTATTCAAGAAATAAGATCCTTTCTGCCAAAACATGCTCCAGAATGTAGACATGAACATGTAGAAGACTAAAATATGCCATGTAATATGAAAGTTTACAACAAGATGCAAAAATGTAATAAAAAAATAAAAAGAATATTTAAAAAAAGGTCTTAATTATAGGTTGGTAATAGGTACCTTAAGAGTAAACTGCTCTGAGAGGCTTATGGACTGAGGAGACAAAGATTAATCTGTGCCCAGGGAACGGTTCATGATTTGAAGCATACCTCACCTGTGACTTTCTGCACTGCATACTGGTATATGGCACCAAAACTACAAATTATCACTGTCCACCTACAGAGGTAAAGAATGTGGAATTGTAGTGCTGGTATGCAGACACTAATTTAATACTGGTTGAAATAGGCAGAGATAGGTCTCAAGTTGAGTCACATTTTGAGAGACACGACTACTCTGACTCAAGACTGGCTGGCTGTTTTCAGTAGCTAGCTAGCAGACAACCATCATAACTTGCCTGTGCAGCAATAAAAAGCCAATTCAGCATCATTCACTCCTGAATCCCTTCAGGTCATGGAGCTGTTGCCATGACTGCAAAGCCAAGCCAATGTTGATTCTGGTGTTAGCCCATGCTCTGTCGCTTTTCCTTTCAGCTTGCCAGTGTTCTGACAAATTGGGCTACCTTGTTGAATCATTCTACCACAGCGCATATTTATAGATAGAGCTCTAAATAAAACTGTAGGTAGGGTATTTTTGATAGCCTAAATCACACAAAGCTGAGGTCGGCTTCTTCTTCATCGGCTTCTTCTTCCACCTTAAATGGTGCAGCAGATACATTTTGTGTCTCACCAAAGGCGCTCTGGCACTGGTTAAGGTGGAACGGGAAAATTCAACAAAGCTGGCAAACAAGCTGACTTCAGCCTAAATTGTCTAAATTGTAAGTAATAATATTAAGCTGAATCTGTACTGATTCAGCTTAATAATCTGTACTGATTCAGCTTAATAACACAATAAAACGTTTAAAATACTTTGACCATGGGTGATGCCACAGAGGATGACTGAGTTGACTAAAATTCTCTACTAAAGACCCAACTCTCCCTCTTATAAGCTCACTTGTGAACATTTTTGAACTAGATTCCACTTTTCTCAAACCTATAGTAAACTTGTACTTACAAATGTTTGTAGGTGGAATATAATTCCACTTCGTAAAGTCAAGACTGAGTTAATGATTAATGATCTAACCATTGTCCTGTTTGTTCCTCACAGACAAGACATTCCGGTATAGGTTCTGGTGTTGCCATGCCAACCTATTCATTCTGCAGACAGATAAGCACACAAGAGTTTGAGGAGCAGAAGTTGTCTGTGTCTCAGGCAGCCATTGCAGACCTGCTGGAGAGCATCCTGAAGGATAAAGCCATGTCTGTCAAGGAGAAGAAGAAGAAACTCAAACTGGTAATGTATAAAATCTGTTCTCTTGTGACTTTCTCAAATAAATACAGGCTGTCTGAATGTGTCTGCATTATTTCATATATGTAAATGTGCTCTGGACACTTTAATTATTTTTCTTTCATTAGTTTCAGAAGGAGTATCCTGACATCTACTTTCGCCGCTTTCCAACCACAGAGAGTGAAGTGAAGCTTTTTGCAGATAAACCAAAGATCAAACCGCCTCTTTTGATCAGCATAAAGAAAACTAAAGCATTCAGTATTCGGAACTGAATTCCTCAAAGAGTGAGTGTGAGAGTGTGAGAGTGTGGGTGTTTTTATGAAGACATAGTTGTTGTGGAGATGAGGGATTCTTGTTTGTCATTGTGTGCAGTTCAGGGAGTTATGTCATTGGTTTCCATGTAAGCCAGTGGTTCTCAGACTCTCATGGAGAGAATCCTGCATCTCCGAGCAGATGCCTTCAAATCCAGACCTTGAATCCAGTTTTTGGTCTTGAATTTTGACATTACTGTTAGGAGTGACACCAGGTGACCAACCAGCTACATCGACAGTTCAGTTAACAATTAGTGATTACAAAATCCTGAACTGAAAACTGGATTGAAGGTCCAGATTTGAAGACCTCTGCCATAGAGAGTTTTTGTGATTTCTGCTCTAATGTATTTGAAACAGTTTACTGGGCAGTTAACAAACCCTCTATGAATTGGTGTTTGTGCAGTGCATGATATCTCCAAAACTGTGAGAACCATTGATTTTAAACTATTTCTTGGGATTTAAGTTTTTTCACGTCTTCTATTACAGCTGAGGGTTGGAATATTTGTGTTATGTATTTTTCACTTTGTTCCCGTAATTTTTTTTTATATTTGTTATTTATTTCAAAGATGTAAATTATTGCGAGATGTTCTTGGGAGCTATAAAAACAGCCTTGGGTTAGTTATCAGCTACACCCAGGTTATTAAAAGATCAGTTTTGTCTTTCCCTCCTAAAATGATCTGATATCTGTGATGCTTTTGGGAACCTGAGCCGTTTTAATACAAACCAACTGGGACCAAAATCAATTGAAATTCACTTGGAATGTTTACAGCAGGATTGGCTTAGGTAGTTAAATGAAGAGCTTTTAAACCAATGAAGGTATGTCTGCTTTTATAACAATGTAGTAACATTATTTGTGGCTCTGTTTTATTTGTTTTTCCCCTCCTTTCTTAGCTCCTCAAGTAATTTATTTCCCTCCAGATTTTAACTGACATGTTCTTACTGGTATGCATTATTGGGAAGTTTATTTTGAAGTTTGTTTTTCAGTTTTGAAGGCCGTAATGTCATGATTCAGCCTGAAATTGGCACTGTGTAATTCCAGTATGTAATAGTTTTGAAACTAACATGCTTTAAAGGTTTGTTTCTTGACCACAGGCATTTTTATTATTTTTTTTTATTTATTTATTTTTTTTTAAAGCTTGACTCGGTCCACTGTTTTGTAAACTTGCAGACACAAAATTGGGCAGCTTATGCATTTGGCTTATGGTTTCTGAATGGAAACATTCTTGAAACTGAGACGTGGGTGAACCTTTCAATCTACTATGGGATAGAAGTGATTTTTCTCTGCTGCCAGTCATCTCAGATGTATTAAGCTAAGTGTTATGTTAAGCGGATGGTAGATTTTATCTTGACAATCCAGTCTTTTTTTATATTAAACTGTTAACTTTTAATTAGCTTGTTTTAAGACTGAAATTATATGCATAAGTTAACAAAAATGAATTCCTTTATTCTCCTAGTGGTATGATCCCAAAAATCATCCATTATTGCCATTGAAGTCAGTGTTACAGTGATGCTTTTTGGAAACATGCACTGTATGTATTTGGTTGTTTTGCTCAGATGAGCAGATTTAAATGAAATATAAATATTAACATTAACATTAACATACTGTTTTTATGTAGAATGTCTACTGATTTGTGCTATGCAATAAACCTCTTGTAAATAAAACTACTGGCCTGTCTTTTGTCACCTAACTGAAATGGTTTGTAGTTGAGACTTGCATCTTACAATCTTATCCTCAACCATTTGGCTATGGTGATGTGGATTTTATCAGACCATCTATAGAGAATGAACAAAAAGCGTAAGATTTATCATGTCTCTTTACACCCCTCATGCTCTCCATAGATATCAGTGAACAACGGTGGTAATTCTGCCTTGTGGTTTTGTTTACTGTAGAACATTTCACAATATTTTTCCCACAGTTAAAACTGCAATTATTTATAATAGGTCAACATTTTTGGCGTTAGAAGTGGCTGTAATTCCATTCATAGATAGATTTTCACACTTAAAACCATAATTCATGGATTTGTAAAGCATTTTATATAACATTAAGCAGAGGTGTGCATTCAATTCCTTAAAAAAGAAACAAAGTGAATGCTATAATATTTTTAAATAGTCTTTCAATTTGTGTATTCAGCATTCCAACATTCCAAAATGTTCCTTCACCTTTTAAAGAACTGGAAGGTCTGGTGATGCATTTTGTTCAACATAAAAACTTTCCATGATTTTCCTTTAACATCTTTAAGACTTTTTCTATCTCTCACAACTCTAAAATGTGTTTGTCATTTTGTTGTAATTAGAACCGCAGGGTGCCCTGAGAGGGGGTGCTGTTCATGAAAACTCTGCGGAGCTGCTCATGGTCTGGGCACAAAGGGGGTTTTGTTTCAGTGTTTGCTGATTGGCTGAGACAACTCTTAAGACTCCATGGCAGTGCTTGGGAATGGGCTTCAGTAATGCCCAGAACCACAGAGCCTCTGCACCATTTAAACACACTCAACTTTTTCATGCTTAAAGCAACATGGTCAGCCGGTGAGTGAGTGGAAACTTTTAAGTTACGTTTTTGCTTTGGCTTGTCTGAGTGAAAAAAGCTTCCTAACCGTAATGTTAACCTACTTTTTGCCTGTTTTTGCAATTACATATGAGCTAGTTTCATCAGATTTTAAGACCAGAACTACATTAGCTGTATTTTCTTTCTTTTTGTCCTACAATGAATTGTTGACACAATTTTATAGAACTGAAACTTTGCATGAAGTGAAATTTCCCCATTTTACTGGCAGCATTGAGCATCCTGCTGGTGGCTATAAGAAGATCTTTGAGTCGTGTGAAGAGTTAGCTGAGCCCATCCCTGCCCATGTTACTGGTTTGTCTGTTTATTCAACTTGAATTACAGCACTGAAGTACATCCTGTGGTCTGACTCAACTGTATTACATTATCCAGACTATTTCTGAAGTAAATGTCAAAGAAATGTAGATTTAAGTCTACCTTAAAATGCTTCACTAATGTGTGACTGGCTTGTTTGTGAGGGTTTTACTGCCAGTTTTATGAAGACTCAGGGGTCTCAGAGTGTGCTTAGTGGAAAGGGTCATTGTTTCCTCCAGGTGTTATTCCAGCATGGCTGAATGGTAGTCTGCTTCGTCTGGGACCCGGGCTCTTTGAGATTGGAGATGAACCTTTTAACCATCTTTTTGATGGCCAGGCACTCATGCACAAGTTCGACCTGAAGAATGGGAAAGTCACTTATTATCGCAGGTAAGGCTTCCTTTTTCCGTTTCCATATTCGAAGAAGGTAGCTACATAAATACAACCACAGATGAAAGGCATTATCCCTCACACTCACTTCAAAATTTTTTTTTCTGGATTGTGGTTATTTTTGGCCAAATGAGTTATGCTGTAAGAATGCGTGGCGAGGCCACAGGGAAAAAAACTTCTCCTAACTAACTGTTCATAGTCTGTGAGCAAAGTATTATATTGTAATAAATTAGCATTTCACAAACCATCATATTTAACTACAGGTTCCTCAGAACAGATGCTTATGTACGAGCTATGACAGAGAAAAGGATTGTGATCACTGAATTTGGCACTGCAGCCTACCCAGATCCCTGCAAAAACATCTTCTCCAGGTTTGCAGGATAGAACACTTTAATGTTAACAAATGGTGTCTCTTGCATAGCACAATATTTATTATTGTTATTTTTGGTGCAACAGGTTTTTCACTTACTTCCAAGGCATTGAAGTAACAGACAACTGCCTAGTCAATGTGTACCCTATTGGTGAGGATTTCTATGCCTGCACAGAAACCAACTTTATTACTAAAGTCAATCCAGACACTCTGGAAACAATTAAAAAGGTTGGTGGTCTTGACATACTTCACTAGATCCAGTAGAGTGTAAAACACTGTGTATTGTAAGTCATAAACCATACAAATAAGAGTTCAATATTATTAGACACAAGCATATAAATCTTCTCAATTCTGTTTGATCATAGGTAGACTTGTGCAATTATCTCTCAATCAATGGTGTGACTGCACACCCACACATCGAACAAGATGGCACTCTGTACAACATTGGAAACTGCTTTGGAAAGAATATGTCACTGGCCTACAACATTGTCAAAATCCCTCCAGCACAGAAAGGTTAGTGTGGTACTTCGATAATGAACACTGTTATTGGTGTAATTGTAAGGTGTTGTTGACTGTTTGTTTTGTTACTCAGACAAATCTGATCCCATTGAGAAGTCCAAAGTTGTGGTGCAGTTTCCCAGCAGTGAGAGATTCAAGCCATCTTATGTTCACAGGTCAGCTGTTAATGCAGGGGTCATTGGCAAAACATGTAATTTTTCTATCTTTAAGGATCTATTCCATGTATTAATAGTTGTTTCATAGCTTTCATTATGCCCAATGTCAGGTGGTGCAACCACATATTAATAAAAAATATTATACTTTAAAGTCATTTACCACTACTGAACATGTGTGCAACTTATTTGCACTTGGACACCGACATAAACCTATGTCTTTGAACTCAAGGTTATTCTTTTTTTCAAATAGATGGACATTATTTTGATATTAACATATTTCCATGGTTTTCCTGGCTTGGTAAACTGAGCCAGCCTAAATATGACTAAAAAATTACATGTTTTTCAATATTTGTGAAAGGGCTACTAACTTTTTCATTGCAACATAAAGGTCACTTGGGGTCTTTTTTATAATGTGATACCCTGACAACTCTTTGTTAAAAGCATGTCAGAAAAAAAAACTTTTTCCGGTTGTGCCACATTAGGGGTGGGCAAAATGACAATATTTTATTGCTATCACAACAAATTTTGTTAGCGTTATAAAGAATATGCTTTTTCAAGCATATCCTGGACATCATCTGTAGTTGAAAAAACTGCACATCTCAATACAAAGAGGACATAATTGTCCTGTTAAATTGGTATTTAGTGCAGCACAGTTAAACACTGAATAAAAGCCATTGTATCTATTGTTTTTGATCACTAGTGCATCATTTGTGTCAAAACATTGTGATACATAGTGTATCATGAAAATGTTAAGTATCGGGATATCATATTTTTTTCCATATTGCTCACCCCTATACTGCATGATGTCTGAGGAAATCTGAATTGACAAAACTTTTGTAATGAGTTGAATACTTTCAAAGTTTCCCTATTTTGCTACATGGTATGATTTAAAGGTTTCACACATGAAAACATACCGAACTGTTTTATGTCCAATTGTGTAGAACTAAATTTTAAATAGTTTACTTAATCTGCACTGGACGGTTGCACCATCTGACATTTTGAATGCCTTGATTACATAAATGCCTAAAATGAATTTTTGATGCACTGAACATATCACATGAAACAGGTTTTATATAATAGTATGTCATGTATTTATTAAATTATTTAATTGGAAATTAATGGACTTGGATATGAAAAAAATGCATGTCATGTCATTGACCCATAGATCATTATTTTAAGTTAATTATTTTAATTTAAAAACAACATGTATGTGAACTATTCATTGACTGACTCTGATTCTAATAAAATGTTGAATTACCTGTTAAGAGTAGATCTACTAGTCTATTAGACCTTTGTTATAAAATAAAATCAGTGACTCAATTTCCCCCCATCTTTTCAGCTTTGGTATGACAGAGAAATACTTTGTGTTTGTCGAGACCCCAATAAAGATTAACCTCTTGAAATTCCTGAGTTCGTGGAGCATCACAGGGACAAATTACATGGACTGCTTTGAGACAAATGACAAGATGGGAGTAAGTTTATTTTCATTCAAATTTGTTATGGCATATTTTTTGCTCCTACAGTTTGTTTGGGACATACAGTGCATTTGTGCTCTCTGTCCAGACATGGTTTCACTTGGCCACCAAACATCCTGGAGAATATATTGACTACAAATTCAGGACATCTACCTTCAATGTCTTTCATCACATAAACTGCTATGAAGACCAGGGTTTCATAGTGGTGGACCTGTGCACCTGGAAAGGGTGAGTCTGGATCTGCTTACAACCCCAATTCCAAAAAAGTTGGGACAGTAAATTCTGTTTGACCTGTATTAAATGTAAAAGTGCACAAAACAGATTTTACAGGTTTTAAAATTGCTCCTATCCCAAAATGATATGTCACGGCATAAATGTCAGTATGAGTGTATATTCTTAAAAAACAAAGTTGACATGGTATCACAAATTGTCTTTGTACTGTTTTTGTTCAAATACAGGTCAAAGTAGGTTTATAAATCACTACTTTCTGTTTTTATTTTCATTTTACCTACTGCCCAAAATTTTTGGAATTGGGTTTGTAGTTGTTTTCATGCTAAAGGATGTGCCATAGCATCTGGGTACCAAATGGATAAAACTGAAAAAAAAAAATACTGGTATACATTAATGATGCAAACACCAGTAGAACTGAGCTGTGAACAGAACTGTAAACAGAATATTGGTAGTAGTGCAAAAATGGCTAGGATATGAAGATAACATCAACTTCCATTCGTCCTTCAATTCCAAACTGTTCTAATCAGTCCTCAATACTCTCCTGCGTTTCACTGACAGGTATGAATTTGTGTATAACTACTTGTACCTGGCGAACCTGAAGCAGAACTGGGAAGAGGTGAAGAAAGCTGCCATGAGAGCACCACAGCCAGAAGTACGAAGATATGTGCTTCCTCTGGATATCTACAGGGTTAGAGAACAATTTCTGTTTGTATTCTCACGTCTCATTGCATGCCTATTACACAAAAAAATATTTACATTAACAGTAATTACTGGACTCTATATTTGCATGAAGTAAAGCATGGTTTAGATTGGCTTCTCCAAGGTTGAATGCAGAAAAGGGTACTTTACTTTGAAAGGTACTCCATAAAAGGGCCTTCAAAGTTAATGATTAAACTCTATTTGAAGTCTTCTTCTTCTCAGCACTTTGCATGATGATAATACATTTTGAATAATGATAATACATTTTGAATTCTCCTACTGGACACACATAATTATATGCATTTTTCCCTATACAGTGTTCTATATTTTGTTTAAATTACGCTTCTTCATAGTTTTTTTTCCATAAAGTATTTTAGAATCTTTGAAAGGCTATGCACAGTTTCTTATTGCTCAGTTCAGCCCATTTTATTGTTTGGCCTTTTTCTTTAAAAACTCTGTCTGATCTAACTTGATTAATTAAGCAGATTAACTGATCACTAATATAAACAATAGTGACAGCCCCATTCTATAATGGCACCTCACCTGCGCCTCACTGATTGACAGGAAGAGCCAGGAAAGAACTTGATCTCGCTGCCATACACCACAGCCACTGCTGTCATGCGCAGTGATGGGACTATTTGGCTTGAACCTGAGGTTTTATTCTCAGGACCACAGCAAGGTAAATATTTAAACCTCACTGTCAAATTTGCACAGTAGTACAGCTATCAACAACAAGAAAAAAAAATATATATATATTTTCTACTGATCTAAAGACAACTTGAGATATCCTACAAAATACTACTTCCCTGTTTTCCTTTTTAAATTTCCACATTCCAGCTTTTGAGTTTCCTCAGATCAACTACAGTAAACACAGTGGGAAAGATTACACGTTTGCTTACGGACTTGGACTAAACCACTTCATTCCTGATCGGGTAAGTATGATGCGTGACTAAGCACATTTCCTAAATGGCTACGGTAGCTTTTGCCGTGTCCACTCAGTGTTTGTGGTCTTGGTGTTTTTGGACTTGTAGATTTGTAAGCTGAATGTGAAGAGCAAGGAAACCTGGGTTTGGCAGGAACCAGACTCATACCCATCTGAGCCTCTGTTTGTGCAAAATCCAGACGCTCAAAATGAGGATGATGGTAAGGAAAAAGGTTCCTTTACTGAGTGGTAGATGATTTTAGGCACCATGATTTACTAATAAGGCAGTGAAATGTGTCAATTAAAATAATTTGCCAGTAGTAGTCAACACAGATTTTAAAATATAATAAATTAGCCACTCAGTGTTTTCTTAATTAAGACAGAAGTTTATTGACTCTTGTTATAATAATCCTTTGGTTCTGGCTGTGTTCTTAGGTGTTCTCCTGACCACTGTGGTAAATCCAGGGGCTTCCCAGCATCCGGCCTATCTCCTAATACTCAACGCCAGAGATCTTACTGAAATAGCACGTGCTGAGGTTGACGTTATCATTCCAGTCACTTTGCATGGCATGTACAAAGCATAGATAGCCAGGGACAACAGGTAACAATGTTCATAATGGTCCCAGATGTTCAGTTTGATATGCTAAATAAGATGGTTGAATGGCTGGGAGAGTCAGTAGCCCAGCCATAGAAATCTCATTTTCTATGGCTGGGCTACTGACTCTCCCAACCATTCAAGTGCACTGCCTTGGACAGGAAACCAGACAAGCCAATGCTTTCTAATGACTCTGCAGAACCACTTACATGAGGAAGCCGTGCTAGCACAGGTATAGCCAGCTTAACTATATGAGACCTCCATTCGACAACGTGTTAACCACAGGCTTACTAGCTTGATAAACTAAATAATGAAAATATACTGGAAAGTTTGTCTTGTTTTACCAATTATACATGTAAATGTCAGATTTTGTTGTAAGCTAAAAAACCTAGTATAGAATTTCCTGTTATGTACACATAAAGTATTGAAGACATCTATGCATTCACAAATGTATTTGTGTTTTTACAGGCACAAATGTGAATGCAAGCACTGCCGTTGATTTAGTTTCTTACTGAGCAAAACACTAGTAAATTACTAGTAAGCAAATTACTAGTACTTTTTAAAATATACTAGCTTGACCCTGTAGAGGTCTATCTATTGGGATCCTATAACTTGTGTATTCAATTGTGACTTGTGATCAGCACATTTTGTGAATAGTTCTGGTTCACATTATTAAAAAAACATTTTCCTGTTCATGTAATATTCTTGACTTTTATGCTGTTTGGCAACCATAGCCTGCTGTTAATGAAGTACACTTCTTGGTGGAAGAGCTGTTTATTGCATATGTTATCAATGATGATATTGGTATATTTTATCATATTGTACTTTGTAAGCATTTTATAAAAGCAAAAACATTCAAAACTGATTTTACCATGCTTCATGCTTCAAAACACCCTAACTATGGGCACCTTGCACTCAGAAATTAGCTAATTTGCGTCTATACTGTGCATATGACGTGCAGTATGACAGAACTTTAAATGTAATTAGGTACAGACATATAGTATATCGAAATAGCGTATATAATATTAAGAAGTAATCACATAAAAACCTGAAAATCAGAGCGATGGTGCAAAGGTAGTGTTACATTCGAAGAAAGGGACATGTCTGCTTTTCTGTAGACAGCTGGTAACGCTTTTGCTTGATGATTTTCAAACATTTTCCCAAAACCTGATGAAAACAACAACAATAATAAAAACAGAAGTTTGTCAAATAAAAATAACAGAACATCCTCCTCCTTTGTAATTTTGAGTGAGCTAAATTTGTACACTTGCTTCTAGGTATCTCTCAGCTATCCAGCCCCATCATAAGCAGGGCTCTTATCCACAAACCTGCCACAAACTTCACAATGTGGTTTTAAACCTAGTAAACTGATTACAAAGACTGGAGTAACATCTTTAGCAGTGCAATTCTATAGATTCTTCTCTCCATCTCAGTCATGGAGAGGCAATGATGGTTCACTTTCAGCTTTTATATAAACCTGCACTAAAAGGCTACAGAGCATCTCACAGTGCAAAAAGTTACGGTAAGCCATTATCTGGCATATCACTGCATTTATTTATTTGCATATACCTTTCTTGTGTCTTGTGGAAAAATCACTCCATCATCCCATATTCTGCCTGATGAGAAGAATGCTGAGATTTCTTCCTCCAGCCTTCACATCAACATAAAAACATTCATAAATTAAAATATTACTTCTACGCTAGAAAATTAATAGTAAATTAGTAAAACTAACTGTCTCTTACTGCTCATTAATGCGCATTGTCTCCTCTTCATCCTGCACCAAAGCACCAGCATAACCTGGGGCCAAAATTGATACTCTAGCATTGGGCCACAGAAACAGGAAGTTGGGTTCAAAAGCCCTTCCACACTAAAATAAAAAGGGAAAATAAAGAAATCACTGTTTTACCACAGTGATTAAATAGATACAGGCATTACTATGTTAGCAGATCACATACTAAAACAATACTTTCTTCTACTGACCATAGCATAGCTGTCAGCACCATGACAGCCTCCGACAACAACAGTGATTTTAGGAGTAGAAGCACAGGCCACAGCTGACATCATGGATCCTTGAGCTTTTAGTGTTTTGGAGTGGGTTTCTGCCTGAAAGAGACATATAGAACCCCTATCACAAGAACAAAAGAACAAAACAAGTAAACACAACACATATATAACTGCTCAGGTCACACAAAAAACTTCCAAATTGGCTTGAAACTTGACCTTTGAAATCTATGCATTAAAGTCCTTCTTCACTTCAATGCATAACACATGCAACACATTTCTGTTTAACTGAAGCCTGAATGTGTGATCAGGGAAGATTTTAAACTCTTAATTAACTGGTATAACCCTTTGTTCTGAAAAGTTTCACTACAATCTCAAATAATCTGATGTGTGTCATGAATAATAAAAAAGTTCATTATGACAGGTTCTGTGCAAATGAGAACACTTCAATAGTTGGACAGGACTACCTAACTGGACCTGTTAGCTCACAAAATACTGAATCTGGCTTTGTGGTTCACCCTCTTAGGTTTCTGAGCTAAATTATCTAAGTTTATTATGTTGATTCCATGGTGTGACGAAAACTATTCAAATTTCACAGATGGATGTTCATTTTTTAAAACTGGCAGTGCTGCTGTACCTTGGCTTGTGAGAGAGTTTGGACAGGCTGTGGGGCCGTGTTCTGCAGGAAGATTAGAGGGATGTCTCTCTGATCACACAGCTGAACAAAATGGCTACCTTTCAGAGAGGCTTCATATGTCAGCTCTCCATTGTTTGCTACAATGCCAACCTGATGTCTGGAAAAACAGGAATAAAGAAAAGTGCTCTTGTAGTATGTTGTTTTACATTTCTGTGAGAAACCTTAGGACCTGAACAAACATCCTTGTAGTTTTTATTCACAAAGGGTAGATAAGGGTTTCTCAACTTTTTCCACCAGAAAACATGAGGCCAACAGGGGAAAAAACACATTTTATTTCTCAAGGTCTGCAAAATTTTACTGTCGAAAATTAAAATTAGAGAAAAGAAAATTATTTTGTGTTTATAGCTTTAGCTCTAACTTATTTGTCACTGCTGATTGTCCAAGAAGTGAGACCCAGTGAAAACCTAGACTGGCTTAAGATTTTTCAGAATATAATGAAAGGATAAAAATAAAATTTGCATTATTTGACATGATAATAATAAGAGGAAGAAGAAGAGAAAGAAGAAGAAACTGCAATGTAAAATTAATGCATATGAATGACCTAGAAATCTGTCTTAATTCAACTCCGCATTCTAATTTTTGGAATGAAAGTATGGTAAAGACAATTTTTTTTCTCTTCTTGATCTTTTCATTTTATTAATTGTATAGTAAATGAGGAGAGCTCAACAGTGACCCATTTTCCCCTTGTCTAATCTTATTTTCAAATGTGCATTTTCAAAACCATTTCAGAAAAAAAAAACACATCAGCAGATTAGGCTAACATAAGCTTGTTCTATACCAGAAATTAAGTGTAATAGTGGCAAATTAAGCACAATGTATCTGTAGCCCATTTATCACACCAGTTGCTCATGAGCATACTAGTGAAACATTGGAGGAGGCAAAGAAAACAGACAAAACAGCTCCATGTGCTGTTGTTGCAGTTCTTAATTGTTAATGTTACTTAATATATTTTATTTTTCTTTCCTTTTATTAAGTCAAAATTCTTTACTGATTTTTTGACAACAAGTCAGACCACCAGAGGGCGATTCCCTGCTCACTTGTGGTGCCAGTGATTGAGAAACAAATGATACATCTTTTGAGCTGATTTTATTTCCAGGCACTACAGGTACTATTGACCAAGGTGAACCTACAGTTCTTACCCTTCGATTCTGGCAAATCCAGTCAGAAGAGTGGTGCCATAGCGAGCCTTGAACTCCTGGAGCCGACTTCCATCAGTCAGCCGACTGACAATCTAAAAGCGTAAGGATAGAAAAAGAAATGTTCCTATAATGATAAGTGAACAGATGTATGTGTGCATGTATGCATGTGTATACTCCACCAGTCTGATGTCTAGGCTGTAATTGTAGCTCTTTGGTGCAAGGCCCATAAGCTCCTCAGCACTGTACAGGGGCTCCTCCAGTTCAGTGGTGCTCTCCTCTGGGAGCTCAAAGTTGAAAGTGGAGATGATGTTCCTGGTGCACTCGTACGCCTCACTCTCCACAGCAGCAAAGTAGTCTATACAGCCACTCACTCTGAAAAATGTCATACATGAGAGACACTTTATTAAATGTATTAAATAACTACTTTCTTAAAGAAAAAATGCTGCGCTCATGGTGTCAAAAGTAGGGGTGGGCGATAGAGCAAAAATATATCACTATAAGTTCATTTTCACGATACATATGTATGTATGTTTCACAAAATATGTACAAAAATATGTATCATAATATTTTAGCACTAGTGGTGCCACATTTAAAAACAGCAATCAAAAACTCTGGGTGCAAAAATGTTTATACACCATTTGAACTGCACTGCACTCAAGCCAATGAAACAGGACTAATTACGCTCTCTTTTTAGTGAAACATGTTTTGTGTTTTTTAAGTACTGATGATACTCACAGTATGCTCAGGAAAGCATTGTGTGTATCACGATAATGATAAAATATTGTCATATTATCGCCTCTAGCCAAAAGTATTTGACTTGAGTGTAGAAGACAAATCAAATGCCATGCATTACAGTGTATCTTAGGCTCCTAAATGTGACAATTTAGTGTGCAGAAGTCTTTGGTTTCAGAATATTTAGGAAATAGTTTCATGAAGCAACACACTCACCCAGCACGTTTAGTAGGCAGTATAAATCTTTGTTTTTTAAAAGAATTTTGAGAAATATTTTTTAGAAAGTGGATTTGAAATTAATATGAACCAAAAGTGTACCTAAATAACATGTTTATGTGGGTATTTCCATTTACAGTTCTGTGCAGAAATACATTTATCTTGGTAGTAAGTCTGTTTTTGCTGGTAAAAATGCTATATAACGTTAGAATAAGCACAAACAAACATAAAACAGTTAAATGTAACACTAACTTTTGTTTTTAGAAAGCTGATATTTTGGTTAGAAATAAATAATTATTATGTTGGTTAGAAAAATACATTTAGGACACAGGCTGGGTTCCCAACTTCTCTGTGCACTTCAGTCATTTCATGGATTTGTAAATTTCCCTCTGCAGCACACCTGACTTTTTAATGTAGGACTCATTAGTTACACTAGGTATTGGATGGTAACTACAAATAATACTGGGCTGCCATGAGGAGAGGTTTTGAAATACTTTTCCCAGTTTTATTATCAACTGTATTCACTGTAATCTTTTAGATTTGATATTTGCATTTTATGTAATTCTGTCTAGTGTCATTGCTGTTATTAAAGTCATGGCTGAGACAACACAAATTTCCCCTTTATGGGATATAAAAAGTGTAACCAAAATCATAAGTAAAGATACTATAAAAGATTTGCACCAGACAGTGGTTGAAGAATAGAGTCTATGGTTAAATAACTCACTCTGTGTGCAATTTTGCCCCTCCAAGATCCTCAGGAGACACTTCTTCACCTGTAGCAGCTTTAACCAGCAGTGGACCTCCTAAAGATAGGGTCCCTATCCTGTGCACAATCACTGCCTCCTCTGCCATTACAGGTGCGTAAGCTCCACCAGCTATGCATGCCCCGCACACCACCGCCAACTGCAATTGGATCCAATTAATTTTACTTGGAATTGTCATTATATATTATTAGCTAAAGATAGAATAAAAATAGAAGAATGGGGAAAAAAATGTTGGACCAAATTAGACTGAGCACATTTCCATATTTTATGTCAGCCTGCCATGCAAGTGTTGTACTTGAGGGGTCACCATGCTGCATATGACCAATTTGAGTGTATATATATATATATAAAATTCAGATCATGGTCTCATAGTCTGTACACAGGCTTCATTGATCCTTTGCATGAACAACCTGTTTATGACCACAAAGAGGATTAAATGTTGCAGGTGTTCCAGATATTTGCAAAAAATACTTTATCATACCTGTGGAATCTTCATTGCTGACATTACAGCTTCATTGTAAAAAAAGCGGCCAGCATGGTTCTTATCAGAGAAGAGGCCTGACTGTTGACAGAGATATTAATGTAAGTTACAAACGTAACACTGAATGCATTTACATGCACACTAATGATATAGTCATTATCTTATTTCATCAGTAACCCATTTCTATAAGATGTCATGTAAACATACGTATACTACAACTTAAAGCGAATGTCAGAGTGCAATTTGGAACCATAAAAATGCCCAAATGAGCTATATGAAGTATTACCAAAATCTGATTTTCTGCAGTTATCATACTATTTTGTACATGCATACCGTTACAGTGTCATGACAGAAGAGTTAGACTTTAGACTTACCTGAAGAGGCAAAAATGCACCACTATTGTCAACCAAGTACACACAGGGCAGACGATTCTGAATGGCTACTTCCTGTGCCCGCAGTGTCTTGGTTACTGAAATAGGGTATGTCAAGCCTGCTTTAACTGTGGCATCACTAGCAATGAACACACACCACAGTCCATTTATTTTACCAATGCCTGCAGAAAACAAAACAGACACAAAAAACATTTTCACTCCAAAAATTTCCTTATGAGCCGTAAAGGACACATTTAACGTGTCCTTCCAGTGCAGTAAAGTACCTGAGACAGAGCTGGCTGATGGAACATCTCCATAAGGTAAACCTAATCCAGCAAAAGGACAAAGTTCTAGATAATCTTCATCATCCAACAGCATGCGGAGTCTATCTCTGACTAGAACCTTCTGTTTCCTCTGTGTGTGTTGGTATATAGACCTTTCACCTCCTCCTTTCAGCATTTTCTCCCTGTGTTCTATGAACCTGAGCAGACACAAACATACTCCACATGAGGTTAGGAGTTCAGTAATTTTATTATCTTATTATGAAAATAATAGGTTTTTCTTTGTTTTTTGTATTTTTGGAGTTAACAACATTGGTAAATTAAAAAAAATGTTGGTAGAAATATAAGGAGCTTAAACTATCCATTTAGTGTGTGCAAATCCGTAATACCTTTGCTGACACCTATGGCTGTTCTGTAAATTTGCTTCAAATACATGGCGGTGTATTAGCTGAAAAGCACCATCTATTTTAGGAAAGGCACTTGGCAACCTCCTTCCAGGTCCACATGAGCTTATGTAACGTTGCAAGGATGAACAGATTGCCTTTTGTGTGATCCATGACAGCCATCGGTAAGACAATGGGTTTGTGAGACTTCTCCCTGCCTTCTGTCTGAATGTACTGTTAAAATAAAAAAAGTGGACCGTTAGGCTGTTTCACAATCCGACATTAATCACAGCTTGTAACTCAATGTCAGCCATACACACTTTAAAAAGATGGTTCAAGAGTTTAGTGAAGAAAATGGTTCTAATCAACACTCAAAATAACCCTTTGTTTATGTGTTTAATATGGTTCTAGATAGAACCTTTTTGAAAAGGTTCTATATAGCACCAAAAAGAGTTCTTTTATTGTTACAGGTTTGCCACTGAAACAATAGAAGACCCCTTTTAAAAAATGTATATAAATGCCAGGTCAAAGAAGACCACATATAAAACTTCCTTTTTAAATAAACCAGTCTTAAATCAGTATTATTGAAATAATAAATAACGTTAAATAGCAGACACATGCCTGTCAAAGAAGCCATTTGACTTAACGTTACCTGAGGTATCCAGCGTTTTTTTTAATTTGTCGTTATGACATACGTATTTTTTTGTCCTTATTAAAACTGAGAGAGCTCGCAGTTCCTGGATGGCTTTATAGATAACGTCTCTTACCTTATAGCTAATATTCTTACCCTTTTATGAAATAGCTCATGACGGACCAGCACAACGACTTCTCGATAATCGATTATTCTGTAACTATAAAGTAGGGGTTGAGGAGTCGATTCCAAAAGAGTCGATTCCTTGAGTCAGACTCATCTTAGTGATATGCCAAGCGCTCGCGCACAAAATTTGACCTAAAGAATGGTCCTGTCATCTGTCATAACAGGTAAAGTTTCCTTTTCTGGACTCATAGTGGTGTTACGTCTGGGAACAGTCCAGTTCTTTTCAATGGCTCTTTGGTAAGAACGAAGGGAGCGGTGTCGTACTTGAGAGTCGTTCTTTTCATCGTTTTTATCGCCCAAATTCCACTGCCTGCCCTGAATCCACTCCACTCTCCAGTGAACAGCGACAACCAGCCAGTCACAGAGACAGACCTTAATAGGTTCCTTAAAGGCAGAATGAGTAAGATTTGTCAGTTGCTGTTTAAACACACTGCTCGAAGTTGACTCAACGAGAGACAGAGAGAGTGGCCGGTGAGGTGGAGGATGCACTTTCTTCTACTGTAAAAAATTCAGACCAACACGTGAAATTTACACAAATTCAACCAACTCGACCCGTTTTTTTTTTGGAGAGGGGCACACAGCCTCATACCCCTACTCTACTCTACTGACCTCCAACAGTACACTTATTTATTTAAAAAAATTACAAATTCATAAATAGTTTATTAATTTTTACAATAATAATTAAAATGATAACTCTAATTATAATTAATATGGTTACTATTTCTTATTTTGTTTCCATTATTGTTTTTGTTGTTACTGCTGTGATACTTTAACAACTACTGTACTTCACAGTCATGTTAATAAAGCCAATCTGAATTGAAGGGAATTGAACGGAGAGACAGAGAGAGAGAGAGAGAGAGAGACAGAGAGAGAGAGAGAGAGAGAGAGGGAGCGGGGCTTTAATGTTAACTGTGTCAGTAAAATGTTTTCTCATATTAAGTGTTGCATGAACTGCATTCAAGGCAAGGCAACTTTATACATAGGGCTTGAAAAAGCAGATGAGCTCCACCTGTTAGTAAAGAAGTCATAAGGTTACCCGTTAAGAAACAACCGTTATTCCCATCACTACTCCATGGAGAAGGAGGCAATTACACAAATACAACATCTGAATCCACAAAACACTGACCCCTCCCTCTTAGATTTTTTTACATGTCCCAGACATAAATGTGAATAATTCAGCCTAATCGTGAAGGGAGTGCATTTCCTGGCAAGTGGACTGCCTTAAAAGGCATCCCTTTGTAATTTTGTTTCTGTTAACACAATTATGAAATGTTTGTTGTCATGTGTATTTGGGACCAATATTTACTACCTGTATAAATATCATGAATGTAATAATAGCATAAACAGATTTAAGAAGGGGTGCATTTTCTGCCAGGTAGATTGCCTTGAAAGGCATCCCTCATGTAACTTTCTTTCTGCTTACACAACTATAATATATCTTTAGTAATACATATTTGTGACCAATTTTGTAATACCTATGCAAGTTTCATAGATGCAACACCTTGGCCAGATCTGAGAGAGGGTGCTTTTCCTGGCAGATGGACTTCCTTGAAAAAGCATCCTTGTGAAACTTTATTTATATGTACACAATTTTTTTTTTACATTTTAGTAATATACATTTAGTGTCAGCATGTGTTTTCTGCAATTAATTTTCATGGCTGTAACAACAATTTAGCAAAAAATATGAGGGAGTGCATTTCCTGACAAGTAGTCTGTCATCCCTGCTGGAACAAAAACATAGAAACCCTGAAAGTGTTTCTGTTAGTTCCTAATTATTATTATTTTTTTTAATCTGTTTTGGCTTTGGGCAGCATGGTGGCGCAGTGGGTAGCGCTGTCGCCTCACAGCAAGGAGGGACAGGGTTCTCCCTGTGTCTGCGTGGGTTTCCTCCAGGTTCTCTGGTTTTCTCCCACAGTCCAAAGACATGCAGTCAGGCTGATTGGACATGCTAAATTGCCCCTAGGTGTGAGTGAATGTATATGTCTGTTTGTCTGCCCTGCGATGGACTGGTGACCTGTCCAGGGTGTATCCTGCCTTCCACCCAATGACAGCTGGGATGGGCTCCAGCTCCCCCCACGACCCAGAAGGAGAAGCGCCTTAGAAGGTGTGTGTGTGTTTGGCCTTTTTAATGGGTTGATATCACAATGTAAAGGATCCTAAAGGTTTAGCGGGTGACCTATGGCTGATTCTAAATGCATTTGATGGTTTCCTAATGGGATCTAAAGGTGTTCTACAGGAACCTAGTGGTCTCTATTGAAAACCATTAAGTCAATTCCCATTAGTAAGCAAAACATCAGTTTTTAATCCTAATGGTTTCTAATTGTCATTTTTCCGCAGGGATATAAAACTCCCCTATCACTTTTTTCTGAACCGACTATGAAATGATTCTAACAGTATATATTTGCAAACAGCATGTACCTGTGCAAGTTATATGGCAGCAATACCAGTGTATCAAGATTTATAATGGGTTGCACTTCCTTTGAGTTTTTTCTTTATAAATCACTGACTTTTGTGCAAGATTTCTATCACGATTTCTCAGCTATAAGAGTGCAAAGTCTAAGGAACCTAAACCAGACTGGTGAGAAACATGACACGGTTAGTACGTGAGATTCATGTGTATGTTCATTGTCAAGAAACAGTCGCATGCAAGTTTTATTGCATGCAAGGTGAATGCAGACTACAGCATCATAGATCAAGCAAGCAGCGGTGTATGTAGGCCACACTAGCCTCTTTTATTCTTACTTATGATTCACCGTAGTTCAGAAGAACATCTGGGCTGTGCAAAACAGCAATTTATTTTATTGTTGTTACTTTATTTAAATGATCCTTTGCACATTCTTCTAGTGGCTACAAGTAAAGTAAAAGCGTATTACCCCCACTTTCGATTAAAGATGTGGAGCTTGCACTCCCAAGAGGCACACATAGTGTGTATAGTATATGTGTGTATATAATTTACAGGCATACTCGTAAATGAAACCTATGCAGCAGTTGTGATTAGCTATCACAAATATTAGCAAACAGGACAAAACAACACTGACCTGTCGGCTCTGTGAAAAAGCAAAAATAAGTTCATGTTACCCAGCTGTCAAGCAGAAACAGAGCAATCTGCTCATATCATGCCTTTCAACTCTCCATGAAGCTGAAGTCAGCTTTTTTTTCGCCAGCTCCTTGATCAAATTTTCCCGTTCCACCTTAAATGATGCAGCAGTTCAGAATGCACTCTTTAAGGTGGAATGGGAAAATCCGAACAAGTAGCTGACAAATGTCCTGAGAAAATGCCCTCAGAAAATGTTACCAGCATTAAAATAATCAGGATATTATGATAGCCTAAATCAACTTATCAAGGGGGATGCAGTTATATTAATCTGAGTCTGTACTGAATTAGCCTGAGTGCAGGTAAGTTTGCGATCTGGGTGGATTAGTCAGTGTGAAGCTAGCCAGAGCAGGCGTCTGTTAGCTGATGTAACAGAACTGGTGGTTGGCGTTCTCCAAGCACATTCAGCTGTCCAGTGATGTTCGAAAAGATATGGAAGTGCTTCACAGGTCTCGGAGGAAGTCTGCGTTAGCCTTCACCCTCCCAGTGCTGGTAAGTATCGTTTAATGGGGGAGTCCTAACTAGTTTTTGAAATTGGATATGACAAAATTGGGAAAAATAAAAAAAATAAAAAAATAAAATAAAATTTGAAGAGAACACAGTCAAAACTGGAAGGATGTGTCTTCCAAGGATGTGAGTGTATTATTTTGCATTTGAGACCTAAACGTCTGTCGGAACTTTATTTTGACCCTGCATGTGTGATATTAACACGTAACGACTGAATGATCTGATACATTGTTTCATTGTATGTGTTCAGTATTATGTGTTAATATATATATGTAATCTGTGCATGTTTTATGAGAGCTGTACCTGAGAGGACAATTTGAGAACGTTGTAAACAGTTATTTCTGGCTGTTTATGTATAGGTTAAGAACAGCTGTTGCTTCTCTACATAATTTGGCAATGGTCCTTTTCTGCCCTTTTCTACAGTGAGCGGGCAGCATGGCATCTGTATACCACTCACACAACAAAGAAATAAAGATCAATGCTACAGACGCAAGGCTGGCCTCCTAGTCTTGGGCCTGATTAAGGACAAGGGGTCCAAAATTCTACATCACCTATGATGTGGTCCAAAAAACTACCATGAAATCCATTCTGGTACCTCTGACCTTTTAATCATTATTTCAGGCTTTGCATGGTGACTCACAGTGGTGCACACATTCCATATTTTAGTGTGTTCTTTTTTCCTCCATACTCAGCAATGCTACTTCTTTAGTTTAAAAAAAAAAATACATAGGGCTGTTATAAGGTGCTCTCAGTAAGGCGCCCTAGAGGGGCTTGCAAGATTTCCTTCTTTGCATAACAGATCTACTGAAGGGATTGGGCCATTGATGTTTTAAAAGAGCGCAAAAGCCCTGAAATTTGCGAGGAATTTACAATATAGTAGGAAGGGGTGGGGGGCCCTGTGTAAGTTTTTCTCAGAAAGCCCAGGATTCATAGCCTCAACTGCAGTTCCAGCAGATCTGCTAATTTTCCAGTCATTAATTTCTAAATATACTGTCTTCAATTACTAATAAATAATGTATAAAACTGTCTGTAAATAAAATGCATAACTGATTTACACATTTTTAAAATAACATTCTGACCCTGTAAACCTTCAGAGTCAAAACTAGTCATTAATATGGGAAGGTCAGTGCATGGACTCTTATAATGGTGCTTCTAGAGACCAGATTTAGAGATCCTCCAGCTACATAGCTCTACCCATTCCAATCAAATCCCTCCAGGCCTGCAGACAAGACTTGATAGCTTCATTTTTCCTATTTAGATGATTTAATTTTGACAGAAGCACAAAAGACACACTTATATGTACAAATATATTATTTATTTTTGTATATGCACAAAAAGCAACAATGCAGTTGCTGCTGATTACAATACAGGTTAACTGTACTCTATAAAACAGAAGTCCTCATAAATGGAGGTAGTCATATAAAAAGTTTCTAAATAAGACTGTTAAGAGGTAGTGTTACAGTCGAAAAAGGGGAGATTTCTGCTTCTCTTTAGACAGCTGGTACTCCTGTTGTTTGATGATTTTCAAACATTTGCCCAACACCTAATGAAAAAAATGAATAAAATAATTTAGCATTAGGTAATAAAGGAGTTTTGAACAGACTTTGTACGATTACCAGGTTTTTCTCAGCCATCCAGCCCAGTTACCACTGAGGTTTTTCCACCATCTGGTTTTAATCTTGGCCTCTGGTTACAAAGCCTGAATGAGCTGAATGAGCTACTGCTAGAGTCAGTAGATTCCTCATTCCCTATTATTTGAATGTTATATGAATTTGAGTTTGCATAGCCAGAGCTACACAATTTCCTATTAAAATTAGTGTGAAAAGTTACTAAAATTTGCATTACTAGTCTCTCATGGTATCAGACTGCGCTGCATTTATGTTTTTGTATGTTGAATTTTACCTTCCTGGTGTCTTGTGGAAAAATCACTCCATCATCCCAAAGCCTGCCTGATGAGAAGAATGCTGTGCTCTCTTTTTCCAGCCTTCATACAAATATAAAAAAAATCATATAAGAATTATTTTATACAATTTATATAATATATATAGCAGGTACATCATTAAATTTCTAATTCCTAATATCTTATTGTGGCCCTGCATAGCAATCATGTGAACGACCATAAAATTTGAAAACAATTAGTGTCACTTACTGGTCATTAATGCGCATGGTCTCCTTTTCTTCCTGCACCAAAGCACCAGCATGACCTGGGGCCAAAATCGACACTCTAGCACTGGGCCACAGAAACAGGAAGTTGGGGTCAAAAGCCCTTCCACACTAAAATAAAAGGAAATGAAGAGGAATGCAGTAAAACTTAACAACTGTAATAAAATGTTTACAAACAGGTAACCCTATTACCACATAACTAATACATCCTAAAACTTATTATTCAGGAAATAAAAGGAAAACAATGGAAACTAGCAGAGTAACTCTTAAGTTACAGGAGTGTGGAAAGGAAGCTCAAATTTGCTGGTATGTCTTGGGCAGTTAAATGGTTTAAAGAACTATTTTCCTGTTATAGTTATATGGGTAATAACTAATATGTTGCACTCCGAGCCCATCCAATACTTTGTGCTACTGACCATGGCATAGCTGTCACCACCATGACAGCCTCCAATGACCACAGTGATCTTAGGAGTAGAAGCACAGGCCACAGCAGACATCATGGATCCCTGAGCTTTGAGTCTGTTAGTGTTCATCTCTGCCTGGAAGAGAGAAACAAAGAAATAGATTTCAAAATGAGACCAATCAATCAAGTAAGAAATAAATATCCCTACTGTCCATTCAACACTGCTGGCCGGCTTAAAATTCCATACTGCAATTGATGGACTGAACTATAACTTTGTAACTGAATTAATCAGAATGACTTTATTAAACGGCAAAGACTGATGACTTGTATATTGTAATCAAAGCAAATAATTCTGGTCAATGATAGGTAATCCTTATTGACTTTAACTACATTCCAATGCTAACATAACCGAATTTTTGAGAATATGAACTCACAACCCACTTTATTAGGTACACTTACTTTGTATCTACAGTCTAAGGATGAAATGATCCCAATACATGTTAAAAATTTTAATCTGCAACAATTAAAACTGTATTGCTGATACGGTCTCTTCCGAGGGACTGTATCAACACCAGCGGAGAGGGTGGGGCTTATGTTATGCACACCCTTGTGCTCAAATAACTGGACTTTTTAATAACACCATCATAAATTGAAGGGGTTGAGATTTGGGGGAGGGGGGGGGTATTTTGTCAGAGTAGGCATTAAAATAGTTTGAGAATGTTTATTTATCTGTGTCAAACCAATTTGTGTAGTATATAATGAGAGCTATGTAGTGTCAAGACATTTTAAACACATAAAATATTGAAAATCAAATTGAATTGTGACCACAGAATTAAATATTGTATTGAAACTGAAAATATGTGGATCGTTAGTATGCATGCATGTAAGCTGTGTGCATGGTGCAAACACAAGGTATATATTCAGAAACTCCATGTTTTTTTCAAATGTATCACATTAAGACACCATTATATTGTATCAGATAAAATTTTGAATTTTGTCCATTTGATCAGGTCCATTTATGATATAGATACATTGTGTAGCTCTAGGGGTGGCACGGTGGTGCAGTGAGTAGCCTCACAGCAAGAAGGGCCTGTTCGGTTCCCCGGTTGGGTTACCAAGGTCCTTACTGTGGAGTTTGCATGCTCTCCCGTGTCTGTGTTTCCTCTTACAGTCCAAAGACATGCAGTCAGGCAAATTGGACATGCTAAATTTGTGTGTGTGTGTGTGGATGTATATGTCTGTCTGTTTGCCCTGCGATGGACTGGCAACCTGTCCAGGGTGTATCCTGCCTTCCGCCCAATGACCGCTGGGATAGGCTCCAGCACCCCACTGAGACCCAGAAGGATAAGTGGTTTGAAAATGTGTATGTGTGTGCGTGTGTGTGTGTGTGTGTGTGTGTGTGTGTGAGAGTAGCTCTACAATTACAGATTGCAGTCCATCTGTTTGCCCCCCCTTATTCCCCATTCATCAACAGTCAGGGCCCCACAGGACCACCATGGAGCAAATATTATTTGGGTGATGGATCATTCTCAGCACTGCAGTGGCACTGATGTGGAGGTGGCATATTAGTGTGTGTGCACAGAGTGGATCACACACAGCAATGCTTCTGGGGTTTTTAAACACTTCAGTGTCACTGTGAGCACAGTCCACTAACCAAAAATATCTAGCCAACAACAACTGATGACGAAGGACTAGAGGATGACTAACACTGTACAGCAACAGCAGAGCTATCATCTCTAACTTTACATCGATCTAAGGTGAACAAACAGTGTTAAACGTTAGCAGTATCTAACAGAGTGGACAGTAGGTACCAGTGTAAAATACACTACTATGTCAGCGTTACTGCAGTGCTGACAATGAGCTGCCTCTCAATAATATCTGCACACGGTAAAGAAGGGCTAACAGACATACATTTTCTCCAAATATCTTTTACACCAATGTGACACCTGAATTGGTGTTATAATGGCAGAGCAGAGATATCATAAGAGCTTGCTTTTATGATTATTAACTCCATCCACTGGCAGTGCTGCTGTACCTTGGCTTGTGAGAGAGTGTGGACAGGCTGTGGGGCCGTGTTCTGCAGGAAGATTAGAGGGATGTCTCTCTGATCACACAGCTGAACAAAATGGCTACCTTTCAGAGAGGCTTCATACGTCAGCTCCCCATTGTTCGCTACAATGCCAACCTGATGTCTGGAAAAACAGGAATAAAGAAAAAAAAGTGTTCTCTCACTATGTTGTTCTAAGTGTCTTTTTATTGTAAGCTTCAGCACAAATCTTTCTATAAGCCACAGTGTTGTGTTACTGAACTAGAACTTATTGCTAGCAAGTCTAAGCAACAAAGTAGTTCTACCAGACACTCTTTGTTGTGTTGACATGATCCTGATCTTAGCACCTGCAGTTACTGACACTTTCACAGTGTCTTTTTGTAGACTGGAAACTTCAGAAACTCCCTCTCTATGAAACTTTCCTCTGTAAAGTGTAAAGAGTGGCAGGTATAGTCCTAAAATTAGTTTATTCCAGGCAATACCCATCACATTCCACCTTCCACTAGATGTCAGTACAGCACTGATATAGTACTTTAGATTTTGTATACCCATTTGTGTAGCATGTAGGTGTCCTTACATTGACCTATGTATGATGATACAAATGTATTTATTTGTATGTGCATTTACATGTATTTTCTATTTTCTATTCAATTTTCCACTGATTATCTCCAACAAAACGGACAAAAACAGAGCACACATAAAGCACGGACTATGACACTATGATCATCTGAATTATTTCTGTGAATTGCTGTGTATCTTGTGCCCTGTTTTTCTCTGCTGTTTATTTAATTATATGAAAAATTATTAAAAAGATGAGTAATCCAAAAGTAACAAACAGTACTCACATTACATTACTTTACCACTGTATTTTATCACCTTTCCTTTTAACAATTCATTAATCATTTCGGAAATGAGGACACCAATTGATGGACTTTTTCAAAGTTGAATTTTTTCACATTCCCGCTTGATATAACACTTCAGCTGCTCAGCAGTCCAGGGTCTCAGTTGTTGTGTATTGTGCTTCATAATGCTCCACATGTTTTCAATTGGAGACAGGTCTGGACTGCAGTCTAGTACTTGCATTTCTTAGTATGAAGCCATGCTGTTGTAACGTGCAGAATTACAAGACGTTGCGTAGGTGGCAGCTTATACAACTCCGGAATATGTATGTGCCCCTCAGCATTAATGGCTATGCCATTGACACTAACACCCCCCCACACCACGACAGACGCAGGCTTTTGAACTTTGCGTAGGTAACAATTAGGATGGTCCTTTTCTTCTTTGGACAAGAGAACGCAACGTACAATATTTCCAAAAATAATTCGAAAGGTGGACTCTTCAGACAACAGCACGTCTCCGTCAGCTGGAAGGATGAGCTTTAGCCCAGTCGGTGGCATTCTGAATGTTGTTGATATACAGGTCACCTTTTGCGTAGTAGAGTCTCAACTTGCATTTGTAGATGTGTTTACTGACAAAAGCATTTGCAAGTTATTTTCAAGCCCATGTGAGTATATACATTACAGAAACATGCCATCTGAGGGATCTAAGTTCACAGGTATTCGTTATTTTTTTGGCCTTGCTTTACGCAGAGATTTCTTCAGATTCTTTTAATCTTGTAGTGATATTATAGGCTGTGGATGGTAAAATCCCTGAATTCATTGCAGTCATGCGTTAAGAAACATTGTTGTTAAACCTTTGGACTACTCATTCACAAAGATTCTTGCAAAGAACCTTGACCCATCCTTGACTGAGTCCTTTGTAAATGCTCCTTTTGTACCCAATCATACCCAATCAATAGTATCACCTGTTACCTGTTTACCTGTGGAAAGTTCCAAAAGAAGTGTTTTTGATAACTTCACAAACTTCCCAGTCTTACAGGCATCAAATTTAGAATTACATATATTTACAAAAATGAATAAAGTTGATAGGGCAAAATGGTAAATATCTTTTCTTTGTGCTGTTTTCAATTAAATACCTATAAAAGACAGTTTTTATTTGCATTTTACATGTTGTCCCAACTTTCTACACATTGTTTGCATATACTACTTACGTACATTTTTAAAGTAACCCTCACAACCATGTGTATGATATTTGTTGATCTAATATTTATGATCTTTAGTCTGATTAAAAGCATTTTTGCTTGAAATGCCACATGTATTACGAGCTTACCACCATGACCAAAACTCTTCATCGAGCTCTGTGTAAAGACAGATATGATTCACAACAAGCATATCTACATGGCTTACACCTACTTAGTAAACTGTTTAATCTTCTTACATTAGTCTTCGGTCAGTGTCTCAGAAAGTGACAGGGAATTTTGAAGGTCCATAAGGGAGGCCATACTGCATGCTATATATACTGCCAAGCTATACTTCTTACCCTTCGATTCTGGCAAATCCGGTAAGGAGAGTGGTACCATAGCAAGCCTTGAACTCCTGCAACCGACTACCATCAGTCAGCCGACTGACAATCTAAAAGTGCACAGACAGAGGGACAAATGTTTTTACACTTTCCTTTTTCTGGAGTAAATGTGAATATGTGTAACTGCATGTAAACCTCACCAGTCTGACATCCATGCTGTAATTGTAGCTCTTTGGTGCAAGGCCCATAAGCTCCTCAGCACTGTACAGGGGCTCCTCCACCTCAGTGGTGCTCTCCTCTGGGAGCTCAAAGTTGAGAGTGGAGATGATGTTCCTGGTGCACTCGTACCCCTCACTCTCCACAGCAGCAAAATGGTCCACACAGCCACTCACTCTGAACAAGAGTAGTGTCAAATATAAGAACCTAAAGCAGTTACTTTCTGATTTGGTAACTAGATAGCCTTTGCTCTTCTAGATTTACTACTGGTGGTTAAAAAAAACACCAGAACTGAATGAAAGTAAAGTGGTTGCTACCATACAGATGACATCTAACTTCTTTTATGTCTGCACTTACTAGTGATGTATTGTTCACAAATGAGATGGCTCTTCTAGGTGCACAATGGAAGCCAACTCACATTAAAGAGATGCACAGTTAGAACTTATGGTGCCGTAGTTGAAAATTCATAATTATTCAGGTTTGTCACAGGATTCCCCTAATGAATCTCCTTGGAACATTCCAGCTCTGCTCCCCCATTATTTCCACTACTTTATTATTACTTGTTGTGCTAATTTGTTTATGGTTTTGTTCTTGGTGTCATTTTTGTTAAAATTCTCATAAGGGTTTCCAAATGTGCCTAGTTATTTTGTCTTGGCATATTCTTATCCTCAGTTCTTAGGATATTTGACTTTTGCCTGCCTTTGTTTAATTGAAGCAGCTGCCTGCATTTTGCTTGTCCGCATGTCTTTTGACCCCTGGCTCGGACTTTAGTTATAATTCTTGCTCTGGTTCTTGGGTTTCTCCTGCTAAAGCCACTCAATACCTAGTTGGCTCAACAGGCCCTTCGTTAAATTGAATCGGGTTAGGGTTATGAAATTGAGCAAATCTATTTGATGTTCGGGGGCATCGAGGAGAAGTCAGGAACCAAACTTTGTTTATCTAACTAGCTCACAACATCTCAACTAAGTCTTGATACTTTTTACTGCATTGATGTTCAAATGTTATGTATTGTTTTTGCTGTCAAAAACACAATTATTGTATATATATGATTTTAAACAATTTGCTTAGGTGCCTAAATCATTTGATCTTGCATTGTGTCTCACCTGCATTGTGTTCACACTTACTGCATCACCGTTGTAGTTTCCCATTTACTTAAACCACCTTTAATAATAAACATATGACCATTTCATTGAAAATTTAATGATGCTAACTTGGCAAATTTTGGGGGAAAAACTGCTATTGTAGGTGAGCTGAGCCAACTGATTTGACTCACTGAAAAGAACTGAAACACCCATTACGAACACTTACAAAATAAGAGTTGCAATGTCATAGTGTGGCTATGTTGTAATACTTTCACTGCTTTAGGGGACAATTGAACTAATTAAAGTCATGCCATCCAGCTTATTTAAAAAAAATGGCATTAAATATAAAAATAATGCTGGGCTATGAATTCTCTTATTACTCTCTAACTACTCTAAATGTGGTTAGTATTTTTTCATTAGTTCTTTTCTCCATGACCATGTAAATGGTGTGACTGGTTTCTTGCTTCCAAAACTAGTATAAAAGCTTATTTAACTATTTAATAACATTGAATTATTTCAGTACGTTAATAATTATAAAAAAGTCATACTTCAGCAATTCTACTTCCTTATGGTTCTATATACAATAAAGCCGCATAACAGAGCTTAGTTAAAGACACACTTTTAAATTACAATTCTGCTTCTAGTGGTCTAAATCCAGTACAGTGTTTCTTTGAGGGTCAAGACACCAAGAAAAGATGCTTTAAGAGAGCTGGAACAATGCCTCACTCACTTGGAGTGCAATGTTGCCCCTCCAAGATCTTCAGGAGTCACTTCTTCACCTGTAGCAGCTTTAACCAGGGGTGGACCACCTAAAAATATGGTCCCTATCCTGTGCACAATCACTGCCTCCTCTGCCATGGTGGGGACATAAGCTCCACCAGCTGTGCATGATCCACACACCAATGCCACCTGCAGGTCACAAAAAACAGCATTAATGGCTTGGTTATCACTTCACATAAATTGTAAAGTCATTAAAAAAGTAACCCAAGTATTCATAAAAACATGAATTGTGAGAGAGCTGTCAAGATTGTTCACCTGTACAAAAAGAATACAAGTAAAAGGGTTTCCTTTGTATTCATCATACCTGTGGAATCTTCATTGCTGACATTACAGCTTCATTGTAAAAAGTGCGGCCACCATGGTTCTTATCAGGGAAGATGTCTGACTGTTAAAAGAGTAATTTTTCAAACGTTATTGTAAGGAATGCTGACAGTTTAGTTTAAGATTTTTTTTTTACAGTGCCACTTACCTGAAGTGGTAAAAATGCACCGCCACTGTCAACCAAGTACACACACGGCAGACGATTCTGAATAGCCACTTCTTGTGCTCGGAGCTGTTTCTTTACTGTAATAGGATATGCTGTACCTCCTTTCACTGTGGCATCATTAGCAATGAACACACACCACAGTCCGTTTATTTTACCAACACCTGTAAGGGGCAAATAAAATTGATTATATACTGAGAGGGAAGGAGACACAATATCAGGTTCAGCTCAGCCTTTTCAATATTTGTCAGAATAACCTGAAAGTTGTTTCATTCCAGGTAGATCGTAAAGCATTTTACAGGCCATCTTGTTTGCTAAATTTTATGCTGCTAACTGGCTAATTCCAGTTTGTTTAGTTTTTAAAGTCAAAATCAGCTTTATTGTCATTTCTTCTCATTACAGATGCACTGAGAGAGGAACAAATTGTAGTTTCCCCAGGACATGGTGCTACATGGTGAACAGCAGCAGAGAACAGCATCAGACAACAATGCTGTCTGCATGACAGTAAATACAATAAAAACAGACAATACAATCAATAAAGACAAACTATAAAGACACTATTCAGTAAGCTCTTCTGTACAGTATTCAATAACTATGCAATCGTTAAGCACAGAACAACAGAGAAAACAGACCAGCTGTTCCACAGCAGCAACAATAGTTGTGTGTTTTTTTTTATTTTAGATTAATAAAAACTGTTGACAAAGCACAGATTAAAGTGACTGTGTATATAAAGTAAAGTTTCACAGTAAAGTGGCTGGGTGCAGAAGGTAAACTGCAACAGTTAAAAGTGAGTAGTAAGGCTGAGGCAGCAGTTTAACAAGAGCAGTTCAAAGGGCATTTCCACCATAAAAGCTGCAGTCCAGAAATCTTGTTTAGAAGCAACAACAGGTTCTAAATGTGATGTAGGCCTGTGGTCATGCTGTTCTTCATAATGTGACCAAAAGGGCTGCAGGTCAAATATTCTCTTATAGAAGTTATCTAATGTATGAATTTTCTGTTCTTGTATGTGCTGAAGGGTAACAGTTAGCTGCAGAGTAAATTTTGTGAAAACAATGTGCTGTTAACTGCACGGGCGGAATGCTTTTCAACTAATCAGGTTGTGTTGTTGGAACTGTTGTATAATTGCAAATACCCTCACAATTCTTCAGTTTCCTATCAGTGCTGTGAAGTACCTGTGAAACAGCCAGCTGATGGAATGTCTCCATAGGGTAAACCCAGCCCAGCAAATGGCGACAGTTCTAGATAATCTTCATCATCCAACAGCATGCGTAGTCTATCTCTGACTAGAACCTTCTTGTTCTTCTGTGTGTGACGAGCTATGGCATTTTCACCTCCTCCCTTCAACACTTTCTTCTTGAGCTCCATGTACCTGGACAAATACAACCCCAATTCCAAAAAAGTTGTGACTGTGTAAAAATGTAAAAGAATGTAAATAAAAACAGAATGCAATATTTTACAAATTTCATAGACCCATATTTTATTCACAATAGAGCACAGAACACATATCAGATGTTGAAAGTGAGACATTTTACCATTTCACGAAAAATACTAACTCGTTTAGAACTTGACGGCAGCAACGCATCTCAAAAAAGTTGGGACAGGGCCATGTCTACCATTGTGTAGCGTCCCCTCTTCTTTTAACAACAGGCTGTAAACATCTGGGAAGTGAGACCAATTGCTGGAGTTTTGGGAGAAGAATGTTGTCCCATTCTTGTCTGATGTAGGATTCTAGCTGCTCAACAGTCCTGGGTCTTCTTTGCTGGATTTTTGGTTTCATGATGCGCCAAATGTTTTCTACTGGTGAAAGGTCTGGACTGCAGGCAGGCCAGTTCAGGACCCGGACTCTTCTTCTGTGAAGCCATGCTGTTGTGATGGATGCCATATGTGGTTTAGCATTGTCTTGCTGAAATATGCAAGGCCTTCCCTGAGAGAGACGTTGTCTGGATGGGAGCATATGTTGTTCTAAAACCTCTATATACTGTTCAGCATTGATACTAATAACAAGGTGGGTGGTCCCTCTCCTTGAGTCTGCAGGACACGGCGTCTGTGGTTTCCAAAAAGAATTTCAAATTTTGATTCATCTGACCACAGAACAGTTTTCCATTTTGCCTCAGTCCATTTTAAATAAGCTTTGGCCCAGAGAGGACGGCGGTGTTTTTGGATCATGTTGACATATGGCTTCTTCTTTGCATGATACAGCTTTAACTTGCATTTGTGGATTGCACGGCGAACTGTGTTCACAGATAATGATTTCTGGAAGTGTTCCTGAGCCCATGTAGTGATTTCCAGCACAGAATCATGCCTGATTTTTAATGCTGTGCCGCCTGAGGGCCCGAAGGTCACAAGCATCCAATATTGATCATCTGCCTTGTCCCTTTGCGTACAGGGATTTCTCCAGATTCTCCGAATCTTTTGATGATGTTATGTACTGTAGATGGTAGAATATCCAAAGTCTTAGCAATTTTATATGGAGGAACATTTTTCTGAAATTGTTCCACAATTTTTAGACAGTTTTTCAGAGATTGGTAAACCTCTGCCCAGCTTTGCTTCTGAGAGACTCTGCCTCTCTAAAATGCTCTTTTTATACACAGTCATGTGAGTTAGTTGCAAATTGTGCCTCCAGCTGTTTTTTTAATCAGTACCAGCCTTTTGTTGCCCCTGTCCCAACCTTTTTGAGATGCACTGCTGCCATCAAGTTCTAAAAGAGGTAGTGTTTTTCATGAAATGGTAAAATGTCTCACTTTCAACATCTGATATATGTTCTATTGTGAATAAAATACGGGTCTATGAGATTTGCAAATCACTGCATTCTGTTTTTATTTACATTTATTTATATTTTACACAGCCTCCCAACTTTTTTGGAATTGGAGTTGTAAATAACCTGGTATGCAGCAAGTGTTCAATACATGTTCAATGACTATGTACTATATATTCTACATTGTATAAATGGGCTGCTATGTGAAGTGAAGCAGTTGAAACAAGTCAGCAAGTGTAACACACACATACCTTTTGCGACACACCTGGCTGTTACATGAATTTGCTTCAAATACATGGTTGTGTATTGGCTGAAATGCACCGTCTAATACTGGAAAGGCACTTGGCAACCTTCTTCTGGGTGCGCTTGAGCTCATGTATCGGGGTAAGGGTGGTCTGGGTGTCGAACTTTGCTGCTGAGTGTTTAGTGTCCCATGAGGTAGTGGACTGTTTGAGGTTAAATGTATGCACTGGCATAAAAAGCAGTTAAAAGCTGCTGGTGTGCGCTTGATTTCTGTGATCCATGACAGTGGCTTGGAGAATGACGTGTTCGTTAGGCTCCTCCCTCTCTTCAGAAAAAATAAGCTGTTGAAAAGAGAAGATCCACAACTAATTCACAGCACAACAGTGGAGAATTTTTGACTTGACAGGCACTAATACATAGTTATTTTTACTCAGTTGCATGTAAGTAAAATGTTGATACATTTAAGTACCTGAGTATTTTCAAATCATAACACCTTTATGTGTATTTAAGTATATTTGTGAGGAATGTAATCTAATTTTCAGTCATTCAGTTACATATTCTTTTAATTTCATGTTCTGTTGGTTCAGCCTCTGGAAAGCTATTCAACTGGTCAGACCTTTTACTCTGAAGCTTTAGCATTTTTCTTAAATCAAAATATTCCAAAAAGAGGAAAATGACACCTAATAAACATTAGTTCCTATGATGATAGATGCTGGATGTACTAAAAATGTCTGGTACCGTTTTAGAATACTTTTTTTTTTGTCTTGGCATTTTCCTACTCAAGATATTAACTCTACTCTACTCTACTTTTACTTGATTCATTATTTCACAATAAATAAGAACACTTTTTCCTGAGTATGGGTGGAAAACCTATTGCAGTTTCTGGCTTCTTTAAGCAGTGTGCCAAAGGTCATTTGATCACATCGCTAAATGTAAAATTATCAAAAATGGTTTATTAAGTAAGCTAAACATACAATACACAATTTATCCTTGACATAATTTACAGCCACGCATTCTTACCTGGACATGCAGCGGTACATGACTAACTAAACTCAGGGCTTTTTTATTTTTGTGCTGTGTTACCTCCAAACGTGTCCGGAGGGAAACAAAACACAACGTGGAACGCTTCAGCGGACATCCACCTCGGTCGTCCCGTTTGAGGCTCTAGACGCGACTTCTAAGCTGTGAAAGAAAATCGAACTGCTTTTGTGGTATTGAGTTACTTAGAGAAAATATTAAGTATTTCCACATTTCAACAGTGAACATCCATTTCTGATCTACACTTCAAATCTTTTAACAGAGTTTGTTTAAAAGTGAAACTATCTCAAAGTGAACATTTTAATTTCTTAAAATGTTGTTTGCAACACTTTTGTTAACCTAAAGAGACATCCCGGCCTAAAACTAGCATTCAGTATGTTATTTGTCATGTAATGTAGTATGACCTTTACAAATTTGTGTTCTTTTTTGTATTTCCGTCCACCAAAGTTCTCTTACTGCAGTACCTGGCTTAGCTATCTGGCTTCTTACTGCATTAGCCAACTAGCGCGAAAAAATTAAGCATTTTAAACAGCCTGGCCTCATGTATCTGTTCCTCCTACCTTCAAGCATAGACTGTACAGTCTATACCTTAAAGACACATCAAAAGGGGATTTTTCTGATGTTTAGTGTTTGAAAAGTCTCTGGACTCTTGTGGTTCCACTGTTGGAGGCAAGTAGACAAGTTTACAATTTTATAATTGTAAAATCTTTGTGGTTAAAATTTGTCCTCTTGTATGCATGGACCTTCATGGTGCTGTGATGCAATAACACTAAGCTCTCTGGTCCTCTTATTATTATTATTATTATTATTATTATTATTATTATTATTGTTATTATTATTATTATTATACCTAAAACCAGAAACATCAAGTCAAGTCAAGAGGCTTTTATTGTTATTCCATCTACACAGTGGAGTGAAATTACATTCCTCCAAGGAACAAGGAACAAAATAGACAGTACAAAGTGCAAACTTGCAGACGTAAGTGTGCAAAAAGAATTAAACTAGAAACAAATGCAAAAAAATTAAACTAGAAACAATACAATAAATACGATAAATGAACAGACATTAGACACAATAAACAGACAGGACAGGACAGTACAGTGCAGACACAGCACTCATTTCTGAGCATGAGGTAGTGGAATAAGGTGCAAAGATTATTTAACATGCTGTGATCTGTGAGTATACTCAGTCAGATTATAGCACATGTGAGCACAGCAGTTCCTGAGGTAGGATATACACGATACTAGAGTAAACAAAGTGTAAACACTGTATTAGCAGCAAATGTTCCAGATGCAAATAGAGCATCAAAGAGGAGTGTGTGTGTGTGAGTGTAGAATATGTGTGTGAGGGAGGTTTTCAGTTCAGTCCTTGTGAGTTTAAAAACCTGATTGCACGGTTTACATTGTAAGTAGCTTTCATTAACTTTATAAGAAACCAACCTGACACTTTAGCCCAGTTTACAGCACTGTGTTTTTGTGCACCACAAAAAAGAGCTCAACTCCACTACTTCATCAAATTATTTCAGATTTATTCCAATTTCAATTCCAAAGTTCTTTTTGAAAGATTACGTTTGTGTATATAGTGCAAACACCAAAACATAATAATACAAACATTTTTGAGTGTGGCTGAAGTTACGACGTACTTTCGTTTTTAGATAATGTTCGTGTTATTTGTCAGGCACTCTGAAATGTGACGTCAGTCCTCTCGTGTTTTCTTCCTCCTCTCTCGCTCCTCCCCCTCAACCTCTGGTTGGTTAAGTGCAAAGATGGCGTCCATCATGGAGGGGCCGCTGAGCAAGTGGACTAACCTGATGAAGGGTTGGCAGTATCGGTGGTTTGTTCTAGATTATAACGCGGGACTGCTGTCGTATTACACAGTAAGTATTGTTTCTAACGGGGAATTGTTCATGGTTTTGTTTCAGATCAGTGACAGCCGACAGCGGAAGGAACGTTTGAAGGGCCGTCAGGAGTTGGGAATCTCGGCTGGGTGGGGCGTTTTTTTTTGAGTGACAAAGACAACAACCAATCGCGGCCTTATTAGGGAGCGTATTAGCCAATCAGCAGTTAGAATGGTCCATGTTGTGCCCCAGAATATCAGCGAGGCCACAGCGAATTAAATAATGCCAGGGCTCGATACTGTTAGTTTGCAGAAATTGAAGGGTGGTGGTCTTCGCGTCATGTGACAGGGTCTGTCTGCTCTCGGACGCGTTACAGATTTCACTAAACACATTTTCAGCTCCCAAAACTTGTCTCATTATCAGCTTAATTCAGGAACCAAGACCAGACTGTTACTCGCGCTAAGGTGACGGCTGGTAATAGTTAGCTAGCAACAAAAGTGATAAAGAAGTCATGGAGCTCGTTGGCTGACTAACGTCACGCGGTCCATGCTGTCGTTTGGTGTGTTGCAGAGCTGTTTTCAAATCTGCGTTTCCTTCCTTCTTCCACTGTTATCAAGATATGTAGTAAAACAATAAACGCTCGACGATGTGTGGATATGCTAGTAATAACATGAGGTGTCTTTGGTTTTGAGAACAGTTGCAGTCCTGCTTTACTTCGCGCTGGAAACTTGAACCATAAAACCATTCAGTGGTCAATGGTCAGTAGTAATGATGGAGATTTGGGAGTATGCAGTGTTAGACTCGTTTCCTTGACTTTCTCTGGGAAAAAAGTATGTAGAAATAAACAAAAGGAGACAATTAATCAGAAAATTGATCGTCATAGCTTTGTTTTTTTTGTTCTGCCAGGTTTTGTTTGTTCTTTCACCAACCAATACTCTTCTTTAACAAAAGACAGCATTAAATACAAATATCGAATAAAAGGATCTGGGAGAAGATTTGTACATGGACACATGGGTAAAAGGCTAGAATGTCATTGAATGACAAGATGATGATGCTACCAAGTTCAAATTTGTCATATATTGCGTCATTAATCCTAATCTGGCCCAGTCCAGACAACAGTCATAACGCTGTTGTCGGAAGAAAACCTTGTATCACCAAAATGGTAACTTTACAGGAAAAGGAAAAAAACTACTTTACTTTTAATGTAAGTCAGTGCAACCAGACTTTTGTCCAGGTAATTTTGGGCCATTTCTTTTGGTCCATTCATCATGAAATTTACACATAATGTAAAGGGTAAACAGCATTTTTAAATTATGTCAAAAACTGAAAAACGACAAAAATGGAGATATGAGGTTTTCTTCTGACAGCAGCAATATGTTGCACCACTGAATGCCATTCTGAGGAGAAGCAGCATGATCTGAGAGAAAAAAAAGTCTAGAGAATCAGATAACTGCAGTGATCTGACGTAGCAGGAATTGCTGTTGTAAATCAAGGTCTCTCCACTTATGTGTTGGGTGAAGAACTGAATGATTCACTCTGCTCAATTCTAAAGCAAAATTGTATTTGATCCAGAGATTGTTGCAGAATTCACACAGCTGGAATTGAGACTGATCTTGATCCAAATATCTGCAGAAAATGTGTCTCAGTATTTCAGCCTGGAGGTCAACGTTAAACTGTCAATTCTCTCACTCTTCCCGCTCAGGAGACGGACATTGATTTAGCCATTAGACCACTTGGTCTGGATGATGTGAGCAAAATGTAGAGGCTGCTCAAGCAAGCAGTGATGTCACTGAGCCATTGTATTTTTTCCACAATGTCTCTACTGCCTTTGCTTTTAAAGATGTCTGAATAAAACAGGCCATGCAATGACCATATGCAGAATAACACAGCCAAACGAAACTAGAGATTCATTGGTATGAAATTTCATGGGCAACGACTGTAATAAGTAGTTTCATGTCATCATCATAATTATCATCTTTTATTAATATAATGCCTTTTCCATGATCAGGGACACATTATAGTCTTAGAACTACTACTGACCGTCAGACACATACACGTTACATTCAAAGACAAGAGGAACACTGATAGCATGGTGAAAACAAATATGCCTAAAACAGAGATTTAAATGAAGATAGACAGGAGGTGTCCCAAATAGATTGGGGAGAGTATTTCATAATTTGGAAGTCATTTGACCACCTATAGAGATCATTTCTCTACATGTGCTCATTTTATAAGTCCACATATGACAGCACTTTTGGGCATGAGTTTAATTTTGCCACAGAGTTGATGAGTTTCCGTGTTGAAATGGTTTTCACTCTGTGCTTTATGTTGCCATTCTGTACTTGTTCTCTTATAAAAAGTGTTTTTGCCTTGAGAAAGCACAATGTAGTGGCAGCTCCAGTATGGCACTTTTTGTTAGAATATACCACATCACTGGCATAGTTTTAAAGACTAGTTGGTGAGAGGACACTCACTCTTGCACTCTTCCATCCCTAACGCATGTGACTACTCTTGAAAAGTTGAACAATTTAATGATTCATTAACCTGAAAAGTTGTAGCGTTCACCCATGCCAAACTCACGTCCTGTTGTGCTTTTTTGCCTCTCCTTGCACAGTCGAAAGACAAGATGATGCGTGGGTCCAGAAGAGGCTGTGTCAGACTGAGGGTAAGTAAGCAGATTTGACTCATGCTTGCAGCTAAACTCACCTGTTTTTAACTGCAGTAGTCTATGGGCTGAAGAATCTTAATAATGCAGTTGAATAGCTGGTGATGAAATGATTAAACAGCATTAATTCAGTTGTGCTTCGTTGGCTGATGCTCTCCGATTACTGTGACTCTTTTTAACCTCATGATTGATCTGACTTGGAAAAAACAAAGATAGGTTTATGTAGGTTTCAGTTACTGTTCGAAAAGCAGTGATATGAGCATTTCTTTCTCTTTGTGCTGACCACTCTAGAAGCCATTTTCTGTCCTTGATGGTCAATCTGACTGGACAAAAAGAACAGCGTTTTGTAGAGAGATTCACTAGGTCTGTGCTGGAGTAAGCAATCTTTGCCACTAGGTGGCACATCAGCTTTGCTCTGTGAGAATGAAATGCGTGTACATCTGTTTATGAGATGTTTTCCACATTATCTGTTTTGGGCATGTAGGATAGGCTGTCTTCATGTTGAACATTACGTTTGTTGAGCACTGGAAGATTTTTTTTATTATTAATGGTATTATTGGTA